TTGCAGCCAAGTACGAATTTTTTGCTGCCTTTTGCAGTTGGTATGAGAGGGAGGAAAAAATTACGCATTCATGATTTTCATATCGCAAAAAAGAACAGTGATGGTAGCCCCTATATATACTTAATGTAATTAGTATTAATTTGTATCGGCCTATGAGGGTACGCTATTTCATTTTCGATGTTTGTAATAATTGAAGTTTCAGATCTGCGTTGATATATGTATAAAATATTTGGAAAATTATTGTCCTGATCAGTGATCCCATATTGAACAATTCTTCAAAAAATTATTTGTTGTACAAATCAATTGCGTGAATTTTAATTTCATTAACATTACTTTCAATTTTAATTAAATAATAATGATTATAACAATAATCATCGCTCAATCAACATTGTAACTTATTGTTATTTTCCAATAAAAAACCCAGAGCCACACAATAAGAAAAACAAACTCAAAAAAATTGATTGAAACAATGTTAATTAATATCAATAAACATTTGAGCTGTTTAATTATTTAACAAAAATATGTTTTTCAATTTTAGAAGTTACAAACATAATATTGTAAATGAAAATAACTTAAATTGGAATTGAATTTAAAATTAAGCAAAATTATTGGCTTAAATTGTAAATTATTTCAAAATAATTTTAAGAATTAGATAAAAAATTTAAGCAAAAAATAATAGCACTAATTTATGAACTTAAAAGTAAAAAATTTTGTATACACTTCATGATAAACATTTCTGAGAGAAATATTATGCAAATTAAAAAAAAATTGAAATTGCGTTACTTCGCAAATATGAATTGATCTTCTTGAAGCTATATAATTATTCAATTTTCAAAACTAACCTGACAGATTAATCTGCACCCAAGGCACAAAAAAGGCAATCCGATTTGAAATGTTATGCAAACAAGAGTTGAGCAAAAAAGTAGCGAAACTAGCGATGCGTAATTGATCCGCAGTTGTCATTGAATTGTCAAATGCGATGAGCGACATGTGATGGATGCTCTCGTGGCGCGTTGACGAAACAAAGCCAGCTGATACATTGGTAATGTCCGGCATCTACATACAAAATATACTCTCGAGCCCTTAGTAGCAAAAGAGGGACGTATTAAAATAATGGCTGAAAAGCTACAAACGTGCCGAGCCATTCATTAAAGCGATCGGCGACGCACGCTTCGCCGGAGATTTTGTGCTTTTCCATTTGCATACGAGTGCAACTCTCGGAGCTCATGACTTTTCTCTCTGTGTTATTTTTGCGTCGGCCGCGTGCACACATCGCTGGACTTGAATAGGACAGTGACGTGCTGCGCATTTTCATATCAAAAGCTACACTCTCAGCTTTGTTCCGATTGCGGGTGTTTTATTCATCTCTTTCCAACGTGGTTTTTTCCTCATCGATGCAACAAAGAACGAAAAAACGTGATGCTCCAGTTTCTCTGTCATATTTTGAGCTACCACTCTCGGCGTAATTACTTTTGATTCACTGCACACGCATGGGGGCCACGCAACAATGAAATTGTAATAAAACGTCAGAAAACGAACTCGGCCGCGGATTAATTTATGTCCGGGCGGAAAAAAAATCATCCCCACGTCACTTCTGCCGAACGCGCAAATGATGAGATTTAACGTCCAAATATGTCTATTGTCGATGTGTTGGTTTACGATCGGCAAGAAGAAGACCCTAATGGTGCATCTTTATTTATTGATTAAAAAGCTAAAGTGACGCTAATCGCTTTCCAAGGGGATGCGTTCATAAAGAAAGTTTGTTTTTTTCTTGTCACATCTCCGAGGAAAAAAATTGACGCCCTTCCTCCCAGGTAATGAAAAGTTGGTCATGCAGCAACGACTCAATCACATAGGCGAGCGCTTCTTTTCAAGCACGAGTCTAATTTTAGGAGATATTTTATGTAAAATTGTGAGATATGCAACTTTTTATCATATAAGCCAAAATGAAAGATTGATCTACATTCAAAAAAGCCAGCAGAAAAAAAACTAAAAAATCGTTACATCTTGTGCATGAGAACTTCTTTTTTGTAATATCTCATAACCTATAACTACTTTAAAAAGAAATAATATTATTATTGTTAGTCCGATTCTCTGAAAATTTATTCTTTTCAGATTTCAGATTGGGGTCCTTAAAAAAATTCTTCAGAAATTATTACTTAGGGAATTATCAAGAGAGATTTAAAAATAGTTTTTTTAATTTAAAATTTTTGCATTTTAGTGATAGAAAGAATTTCTTTTAACGAAAAATGGCACGACCAACAAAACGACCGTTGTCATAAAAATGTTGTTTGCTCACCGAACTAATGATTTTACAACGTGTTGATAATTAATTTAGTTCAGGTTAACCTTTCTACTTTTTTAACCAAATTACAATCTCAATTCAATCTCGCCCTCGAAAAAATAATCTGAAAGCCGCGATCATTGCGCCGACAGATCACGCAATCGCGGCAGCTGCAGCTGAAAATTTTCAACCGAAGGCCCTATGCTCTGTCGTAGGCAGGCGACCGACCGCCGAGGTCGTAACCCTTCGCGGATCATTCGATATTTTCGCCTTGATAAACAGGCTTGCGGAAAAAGCAAAAGTTTTGAGTTGCAAAGCTGATTAAAATTTCGGCAACGCGCTGACTCCAAATCCAAATAAATGATGATGAGCCGAGTCGAATGGCAGGTAAAAAAAAATTAATTCGACGGAATGGTATGGCAGGGGGAGGCAGGTATAATCCCGCGCACGAAAAAAGATGCAAAGCAGAGCTCATTAAAAATAATAACCACCAATATTTCAAAGGGAGCAGCAGACGGAATCTTTTATATCATTCGAATCGGAAATCTCTCGTTGCACTGAAACAAAATCCCATTTGTCTCTAATGTGCTGGATGATGCTTTCTATACTGATGAGAAAAGCCGCCGGCGTTTTTTGCGGCAATAACTGAAATCTCATTATGAAGCACTTGACACATCTGCCTCGCTTTTGTCTAAAAAACCGAGACGTGTCTGACTTCAAACCGAGCTGGTTTCTGATGGAAAAAAATGATGGATACTTTTGAGCTCATCAATCTCGCATGCCTGACAAAATATTATCACTGCAGGGCTAACCAAGACGAACAACTTTCTTCAAAGCATTAGGGGACTTACATGCTAATTTGCATAGCAGCTCCTTTAATTATTTAAAAAATATAATTTGGATGTGTCAAATGCGTACATACAAGATGTTGTGTCTCCTGATTGTGTTATTGAAAAGTGCGTTAATTTAAGAATTGATATTTTTAAATGAAATTTAATAAACTATATAATATTTTTTGCATTTCAGTTGTAATAGATATAATAATGCTAATGTGAGTTTGAACAAATTAATTAACAATTTTAAATAGTTTTGATATTGTTAATTATATCTAATAAAAAACCAACTTTTATATATCAATCAAAATATAAACTCCGATAAACTCAAATAAATTTAAAAATTTGCATCCCCAATTATTAAACAAATTTAATAATTTAAAGGGAAATAATGTGATAAACTTGATAAAATTCAAAATAAGTTCAAATATTTGTATCGGCGCTCTCAAAAATGGAGTTCTTCAGCTCTGTATTACGCAATCTATCCCTCTCAAAAAGGCAAAAAAAAAAAGAAGATGGTTTTTACAACTATCCTTATAGGCAAATTAACAAAATATGTGCCTAAAACTTAATTACCAAACCATTTCGTATTTTCATTTTTTATGCCAGATCAATATAAATAAATAATTTAAATGTCGCAAAAGCCGGTGACCCGTTTTTGAAAGTTGTCTGCTGCTGGCAAAAAGTGGTTGTGCGAGTTTTGTCATCAGCGTTGTTTAAAATCCCTCCGCGAGTTTTCGCACTAACACTTTTTTGTTCGTCGCCAAGCTTTGCCTCCTTTCTTTGGCCGCCGATGACCACTCGAGATATGCAAATAGTTTTTCGCGGACTGTCTCGTCTAGCAAGCGTTATATTGTTCGCTAGAGGTGCGAACGAGGGAGCAAAAGGGCAAACCAATTTTCGCGGCCGTGTTACTATCACACGTGAGCGCTCCATTTAGATCGGTGGCGCTGATTAGCCCATGGCACATGCATGCATGCGCTGCGCCAGCGAGCAAATTGATAAATAATTTCCGTGTGCAGCTGCTTTTGGTTGGAAAACGGCTCAAAATTGACAAAAGAATAAGTATGAGGCTTTTGACAGGCAAAAATAAATGTGTAAAAGGCAAAAGAGTAAAAAATATTTGCTCTAATCCTTTTAGTACTAACCGCAACTGTGCGATAAGATTGTTGAAGGGGCCGAACAAAACCAAGGGCATTCTAAAACTGCTCATAACTTTTTAAAGAATTTTGTGTTGAAGAAATTAATTGAAAATTGTTAATTTAGAATTATTGCAAAAACAATTTATTCTTAATGAAAAATTCTTCTTTGGTCTTCAATGCAATTTTTTTTAATAAAGATTTATATGATTGTCAGATGTTTGCTCCAAGACCTCCAAGCTCCAATTTAAAATCCATTTTCCATAATTAAAATTTACAATGAACCCAGCTGGTAGATGAAAATGATATGGTAACAGTTCAACGTTATCTCCCAGTATTCACCTTTAAAAAAAAGTTTTTAATATACTATTTTGCTAATACAATACAAGAAAAATTTCAATTAAATAATCAAAATTAAGATTGAAATAATTAAATTATTAAAATTTAAATAAATGAACATATATGACCAAAATTAAAATTGTGATATAATTTTAATCTTCAAATGTAATTTTATTATTTAAAAGTTGTTTTTAATAATGTCCTATAAAATTTAAAAAAATTCAATCACCAGCTAGTGTAATTAAATATGTAGCAACCTCATTTAATTTTTATCGCCCCTCCGTGGAACCACAACTTTTTTTACATTCACCATCGTTGCGTCTAATTTTTCAAAGTGCTGCGGTTTCGAGACGCTCTTTTGGTTTAATATTTCAAACTTCAACAGTAGAGAAAAACGAGACTGACCTGAGCTCTGACGTTTGGTTTTGCGTCTGCCCTGGCCGAGCAGGACCTGCCTGGCCCTGACGGAGCGCCGGTGCAGTGACCTCAGGAAACCTTCCGGCATGATCTTCTTTCTGTAACAAAATTAACATTTATAATTAAGAGATTTGCCAATGCAACTTTTTCCAAACTAAAAAAACGTGTCGTGTCACGGCTCGTGAGGCATTCGGGACGGCGGAAGACGAGACTGTGTTGCCATTTCTTATTATTACAATACGTGAGCGAGAGATGAGAGCACAACACACGTGGGTGAAGGAGCAAACAGGCCATGAAATTAAAAGCAGTATTCGCCGTCGTGATTTGTGGTTTCGCGGGCAAAACTACTGCGAGCGTCTCATTGTTGTGATCAAAAGAACTCTCGAAGAATTAAATGTGTAGGAGCAGAAAAGAAAAAGAGCTTTCTTTTGATTTTCTTCTCAGCTGCTCCCTTTTAACCATATTGACACAAAAGGAATAATATAAACCTTGGCAATTTGTGAAAAGATTTGCTCCAGATGCGATCGATCGCTTTTTAATTCTCTCCTCCGCAACAATAATGAAAAGTTTCTCGGCTCTCTTTCACTTTTTGAACTTTTGTCACACAATATGATTAATCAAGAGCTCGCGCCGAAGCCATTCAAAATTATCATCAGTTTTGTTGTCGCTGCTCTAGAAAAATTTATGGCTCGTTAAATTTTGTTTGTTTGCACAGAGCGCGTGTCGTGCAATAAAAATATTTTGCTTTTCTCCAAAATGAAAACTGCAGCAACGGTATTCGTGTGCAACACATAAATTGCGCAGCTGTGCTAATTGTGACACACGGAACAAAAATGCAGCCGATTTCTTACTATTTTGAGTTTTAAATAAATTTTCCCACTGTTACAAATTTAAGGTCAATAAAGTTAAGGGAAGATCACAAAAATTAGTATTTTTTTAAATTATAGTTTGAAATAATATGAGCTTAATCTAATTAAAATTAATTGAAAAATAAAATAAAATTTCTTACCTTTCGCAAATAAAAATACAATCCAAATGAAAAGCGATGAAAGTTCTCGATTTTGTTAGGACAAAAAACTGTTTTTGATGCACTGTCTAAGTCAACATTGTAATTGTAAAGACACTGGTATGTGCTAAGAGGGGTCGGCACACGATCCGTGCAAAAGAAGTCGAGGGCCACTCGAGCCGGACACTTGAGGCGAATCTAGCTCGGAAGAAAGCAAGTTTCGCGCTGCTGCTGTGGCCAGGGTCGCACTTGGACTGAACACCGCGCGCGCCGAGTGCTGCTGAATGGAAAACGCAATGGGTATGACGTAAGCCCCCCCCCCCCCCCCCCCCTCCACCCCGAACCCCGCGAGAGCGCGTAGAATCTGCACCCTGCGCCCGTTTCGCTCGCACTTACAGGCCAGGTGTATATCAGCTGCTGATTATTGTATTTTCTTTCTCGACAAGTTTACAAGAAGCAAATCGAGTCTCTTCTGATGCGCCGCGCCGAGAACAAGGTTTCCGGCTGAAAAGGGAATTTGGGGGAAGCGATTTTTGACACCTCCAAGTGAGCGATTGGAGGAGCGAAACAGATCGACCTATTGACATCGAAAAATATTTATTGGATCAAACAGTTCAAGCAGTGCTGTAACGCTGGTAACAAATTAGTTAAATAAGAAAATTTCATCTCTACATTCCAGATTATTATAATTTTTTTTTAATTTAAAACTTAATTTTTATAATTTAAATTTTTTATATGTTTCAAAAGGAATAAAATCAATTTTGGTTTTTGTACTTGAGAGTTTTCAATTTTTCAAGGTTATTTTATCCCTATTAAATTTCTTTTAATGTGTATCAAAGTTGGGGAATAAATAAAAACTTTTCAAAGAGCATAGTTTTCTTTGGAGCACTTTGGAGTTGCGCACATTTAATTTTGTATACTTTGATTTTTTTTAAATTCAAAGTAAGTACATGTTAAAGTTATATTATTATATCATGGATTAGATGAATAATATACAATATATATTATCTAAAATTTAAATAATTTTTGCGTAAAACATGTTTTTACCTTTTTGTATTTTTCGCAGCATCTATGCATCTGCAATTATTATGCTATAAAAATATTTTTTGTCAACCACTGCATTTCTATTTAACATAACGCACCTGCGCTTCATTAGACACAGCAATGTATTAATTTCCACTCATATATTTCCGTCTCGATTGCAATCATATAAACACATCTTTTTTTCAGGGTTATGAGAAAGTTCAAAATTACACAAAGAACTCTCAGAAATTAAGTATCTCTTTTTCAATGTTGCGTTCATGAGTTTTTCATCACCTTTAGTCTCAAATTGCAGATTATCTTGCTAAACGAGACTTCCGAGTTTTTCTTTTATGTTTTTTCTCCTTTTTTTTCAGCATAATCTAATGCGACCTATTATGCAAATAACAAATAACTATGTCCACCAAGAAAAGTGGATGAAAATTACGTCAGCGTACAATCGAAATACAAAAGTTACAAGTATTTAATTTTTTTTCACTCGGAACTGAAACGACTGGTGGAAAAAAATCGGCGTGTTTCTGGTTGTCAGTCAAATATATTATATATTCTGCGTCTCGGAATGGAAATAAATGCAGTTTGCTCTTGTCGCAGTGTCGGATTTCAAGCGTTGAACTCACCCCCGGGGACTGCCATGAGGACGATGGAGTGACTCTCTCTGGGTCGTTCCTTTTCCTTTTGCCAGCTGCCAAAATGCATCCTCGTCGCCGAAACAATGAGAATAAGGAGATGCGCCAGGGGTGGCTTTGCTTCAAAAACCTGCAACCCCTTTGCAAAAGCTATGGGTGCTTTTTGTCAAGAGAGTTATAGAGCAAAACAGATCGCACGGCACAAAGAGAAGGGGCCGTCGCCGCGCTGTTTTAAAATAACAATGCACGAGTTTGAGAACTTCCCTGGACGTCAAGGAAAGAAAGCGGATAATAGAAATTAGTTTTTTTCCATCTCGAGCCGCCAGATCAGAGCAAGGGTGCGTCTCGTCATTACACACGATTATTTTCTCACTACATAAACTTTGAGAGCGACAACAAAATCATCTCATTTATTATTATCATTATCGCGCCCAGACAGATGCTGCTTCAGATAAATAATGAAGTGTCGTCGCGTCCGAGCTGCATACTCTTGTCAACCCCTTTTAAATTTTCATATTGTTATGATTTTTTTTCCTCGAGTGTTTTATGTCGCGACGATCGAGCACCCTTTGGACGTCTGGCGTGTTTCTCTGTCGCGTAATTTGGGGCTAATCGCTGCAAATGATTGGGGTGCTCTGGGCGGGGTTGAGAGACGCCCCTAATCGGTTTTGAAAATGTTGTGACATTTGAGACGTCGGCGGCAGGAAGTGCCCCGCCGAGATCAAAAAGCGACCGTGCCACACACAGGAAGCGCGTGGTCTTGAATACGCAAATCACGGAATGCCTAGTTAAGTTTTATTTGCTTTTATAATTCCTCCGCGAGACGAGTGGGCATTCGCTGCGAGGGGTCAACGGTTTATCATCATTTGCAACGATTCTCAAGCAGAGCGGGGGCGTATTTAATTTATTTTCCTGCCATTGTGTCCGTTTTGCTCTTGACCATGAAAAAAAAGAACAAATAATATCATTTTTAGCTTCTCTATTTTTTTATTCAAATAAAAAAAACAAGGGTCTCTGAGTCTAAACACAAAAGAAAGAAAAACTCGCGTCTTCTCTTTATATAAAAAAGTGCCTTTGTTTTATTTTTATTTATTCGCCTATTGTTGAAGTGCAAAACGCGCGCGGTAGGAAATTGTGCACTGTCAGCAGCAGCATTTGCATTTTAGAAAGTGAATCTTTTCCTGCAGGCTGCGTTCAAAAACGCGAGTCAATTACTCGTCACGTTAAGCCTCAATCACGAAAAGAAATAAGTGAAAGGATTTAAGAGATGTACGCCAGCTCCTCTCTCTCACTGTATTATAACATTTGAATTTTTTATGTATTGGCCTGCCGCTTTTATTAGCGCGACGAAAGCTTTAAACATATTTTACGACTGCTTTAATATCTTTCCCAAAACCGTAAAAGCGACCGGAGAGCGCGTGCAGCTGATTTAAATTTTATACACTAGCCACTAATTGAGCTAGTCCGAGAGGGGAATATGATTTAATTATTTTTTCAGCCAGTAATTTTTACTTCTCACAGTTCGTTTTGCAAGTTAAAAAATGTAATTAACATTTTTAACATTTTTTTTTATTGAATTCATTTTAAAGTTTGAAGAGGGTCCCTTCTCTGATGAGAAGAAAGAGTAGAATGGGATCTAATAAATTTGTCCAAACAAGATTTTGCATTTCAATTGGGCCGTGCACACAATGACAAACGCCGTGTGTATGCTGAACTAATGGTGGCGAAATTGGTGCAATCCTTTTTCAAGTTGCAAAGGGATCTTCCTTTTCATAAACGGAATCAATTTGCACTCGCTTGACAGAACCCTTTTGTGACGGCCGACGGAGATTTATTTGCCATTTTTCATCGCGCACGACCAACAACCCTCTCGCCCCCGGCACTTTTGAGCAATCAAAAGAATAAAATTCATTTTTCAATTCTGAATCGAAAACGTGCCACTGAATGATGGATTTTTTTTTCAAACAAACCATTTAGCATCGAGAGCATTGTTGTAGGTCACGGCTGCGCTGAAACGAGGTTAGAATTTACTGCTTTATAAATATGTCAGATTTTAAAACGAAACGAATTTTTCATCCCGCAGAAATCGTAAAGTGAGAGATTTTGTCCCCCTCCTCAGATATCGGTCGTTTTCCCTCAAAAAAGTTGCTGCACAAATCACTGATGCATAAATGCGGGTCTTTTATGTTTCACCGCGACCGAATGACATCTTTACATTTTATGCAACGCAAACCGCAACGCATCTCTCTCTTCCTATGCGCGACGCACAAAAGAAACTAAATGTAATCCGTTTTGCTGCAGAACAAATATTTGAACAAAAAGCAGAGCTCGTCCGCCGGCCAAGCCATGCTAATCGCATCACATTTGTTTGACCCTGATAATCATAAGTGAAGTACTCTTAATATTTTGGTTGCCCGTTTCGAACAATGACAAGCGTGCGCCCGTTCGCATATTTTTAGTCCAAATTAATCTAATAGAGACCCCTGGCTGGCTGCAGCCCGCGATGTTTTTAATCTGATTATGCGATTACGCTATTATTTCAGCAGGCGGGCGCCCTCTCCTCGGTATATTACTGAATGCATCCCATTCAAAACTTGCTTATTTAATCAGCTTATTTATTACTCCAACTGCATCTCTCGTCCTGCAGCCACCGAACATCATCAACTATATCTCTTTTGGCGTCGCCCTCTTTTTATAACTCCTTTTATCTCTGAATGGCCACTCGTGCATTTGATTTCCATTATTTTGCGATCGTATTACAAAATCAGACGCGAGTTTGCAAACTCAATGTTGCAAATTTGCAATTTAATACTTCGAGAGCTTATCTCTTGAAAACGAGTTTTGGCACACATGCAAATGATGCGAAACATAACATAGGAGTCAAAAAGCGCGTATCGGAGCTAACAGTTTTCGAAGTTTTTTTTTGCTCTTAGCAACAAAATTATTTATTATATATTGCATTTTTGTTATTATTTTTCCAATATTAGTTGCCATTTCAATCTCTTCTTTTTGCTCAAAAAAATTTAATATACTTTTTTAACTTTAAGAATCTATTTCAATGATTAAATTAAATTTTCGAATATTTCCTATTTTAATACAATTAAACTTAAAGCAGGTTAAACCCAACTTGAAGATTATTATTACAATTCTAAATATCAAGGAAATTATTCAGTTTTTTTTCTGTGACATTGAAAAAAACCAGTGAAATAGAATTAAATGTATTTTTTTGTAGAACCATGATATAAATAATAATAATAATAATAAAAAGCAACACGTTTTAAATTAATTTACAATAGTAATTATTTATGCATTATTTAGTATTAGTTCAGAAATAAATTCAAATATTTTTTAAACTTTTTCATTACCTCAATCAGTTATTTTGATCCACTTTAATATATTAGCATGGTGATCAAAGCACACAATAGTCATTTATTTATTTTTTAATATAAATTTTTAACTAGATTTTCAAAAATTTAATTTTCCTTACTAAAAAATTAAATTTTGTTTTCAAACCTTTTTGAGGAAGTGGATAAAAAAATTAATTTGTTATAAAAAAAAATCAAAAATGAGTGTTTTTCTTTTAAATAAAACGTAATTTAAAATTGTAAGCCGGATTTGTAAAAATAATCTATGATATTTGAGCCAAGCGAGTTTAGCGCTAGCAAATCTCGCCCTCTAGTGGACACAGCAAGCGCTTCAAACCACGCCCCCTACTCATGTGTGTTCAGAACGTAAACAAAACTCGGAGTGCATCCTCAGGTCACAACAAAATACAACAACAACAACAACAACAACAACAACAACATCCTCAGGTGTCTGCGACCTTTACCTTAGAATCGATCCTTTCGCAGAACAGAGCAGCAAAATGCTGCTGAAGAACGTGGACAGAAACGCTACCTACCCTTGGCACGACAGGGTCTGCGAAACCAGAGTCCGCGGCGACTACCTGTATTACCACTACGCCTGCGACGGCTTCGATGACAAGGTGACACCTTCGTTCAGTTACTCTTGTTGAGTAATTTTTTACTTCATAATAATGCAATTATTATGTTTATAATGTTCACACACGACAACTACTGAGCATGAATGATTTTTTTAAATATAAAAGAATAAAATTAGCAAGTTTTTAATTTAACCTACATAATTATAATTTAAAATAATATTTTGTTACATATTGAACTTAAAGGTTTATTCTTTTTATATATTATTTAAAATACGTATTATTTCAGTTATAGTTTTTTAATAAATTTTCCTGAAATTTTATCAAAATCATAATATTAAGTGCTACTCATTAAAAATTCTGTGTGTATAGTTAATTCCTTTATAATTATAAATTTATATCTGTTTCACATAACTTTTAACAACTCTCACATAGTAATGATTCATTGCTTTAACGGACCTCCAGGAATAATTATTATAGAACAAAAATGCTTAAAATTTTAGTGAAATTATCAATCAGGAAATTTTAAACATAAACAAATGAATTTGCAGATAAATCTTTCAATTTTTGAAAAATTTCAAACCACCTACACTTTAAACAAACTATAATTTAATTTCACCTTATGAGTTAAAAATGTGTGTTAAAGGGCTGGGGTTGCGGTTACCGAACGCTGCAGACGATGTGCTCGTGGGTCAAATTGAATCACAAGCCGGGCGGTGCCGAAGTGCCCTCCATTCCGCAAATCCAAGATATTCTGGTGCAAATCGAAGACAAACCGGAATCTTTTCGCAACTCGCGCCAGTGGATCGGAAGCGTCGAGGTTTTTTACTTAATTAAAAATTATTGCTTTTGTTGAAATTTTACTTTTTAGGCGAGCTATGTGCTGAGCAACTTGTACGACTGGGACTGCCGAATTTTGCATGTTGCGTCTGGAGCTGACTTGGGCAACTCGGTGTCCACCCTGAGGAATCACTGGGCTGAAGGTGGAGGGCCTGTCATGGTTGGGGGAGACGTGGACTGCTCCTCAAAGTGCGTCGTTGGCGAAAGGGCTGGCCATTTGTTGGTTCTGGTAAGTACTTTTATTTCTTATTATTTCATAATTTTTATTTAACTTAAAAATGCACGTTCTTTTGCAATCGAGGAAGTTTCACTCACAAAAATTTCTTATTTTACTGACATTTTAATGATGAAAGTATCAGAGAAAAAACTTTCCAATTGTTTAACTGGGTTTTTAATATTCTTCTTGAAAATTGCATTGTTTAAATGGAAAAAATATATTTTATATATCAAATTTTATTTTTAATCTGGAGTATAAATTTTACTTGTTGAAACACAATCAACTAAATTTGCGAGTTTGAATTTGATTTTTCTAATGACTTTCCTATTGAATGAGAAGTAATTTTGTTCTATAAAATGATTGAGCTTATTGTTAATACTAGATTCAAAAATTTTATCCATCACTAACAAAAGTAAGTCGATAATTTAGTTTGGAGATTTATAGATAAAGCGCGTGCACGTTTTATACCTCTTACCAGTTCATTCGCTCCTGATACCATGTCTCTGCTAACGTCAGCTTAGCCGGATTTCTCTTCTATTATTATTATTCTGTCTGACCAAATTCAGACACAAATTTAGACTGAATTCAGCAGCAAATAGATTGCGCAGAGTTTTGAACACGTTTTTTTTTACTTTTTTACTAAGAATATATAAGAATGTTTCAAAGATGAAAAATAATTTTATGTGCTGCAAAGTTTGTTTGCAGATGCAAAATTATCAAAATTTTAGTTGATGAAACAAATTGTAGATTTGTTTTTTTTAAAAGATGATAATATTATTTTTGATATAGTTAAGATATTGAGGTTGACAAATTTTAAAAGCAATCAAGGTTGATTATTGATATTAATATTATTATAATTGTTTATTTGTCCTATTCCATCACATTGTTATCATACAATTTTTGAAAAATGAGAAATTTTATTAATAATTAATCATAATCTCTTGCAAAAAATAGAAAAAGGAGCAGAAAACAATGTGGGAAAAAAATGAAAATCTGAATATTTTATACTTTATTTTCAAAATCCAACTTATCACAACTCGTCCGCGGGCTGCGTATCGTCCGGCGCCAAGTCAAAAACCAGATCGGCGTTTTGCATGAATCGGAAATAAAAGTTCACCATGCGTTCGTAGTCCTTGATGGTGACTCGCTCGTTGTCCCCGTGGTACCTGCTAACGTCGTCCGGAGTCACTAAGGTCGGAATGAATCGGTAAACCTTTTCAGTGAAGGGCAAGTAATGGGTCGTGTCCGTGTTGGCGATCATGATACCTGCGAGAGCCAAATTTTTATTATTTACGAATTCAAAATTAAAAACTATTATAAAAAAATTACAAGGGGCTACCACAACTTCGTCAAAAGTTTGGTAAATGGAAGTTGATATAAGTTGGTAGGCGAGGGCGTCGGGACCGAAGGGGGAAACGGGGTGGGGGTCCATTTGACCGGTGACAGTAATTTTGACTTTGTTGTCACCGATGGCCCATCGGTCATGTTCAATAACTTGTTCACTGGTTTGACCTGGATGAACTCGATGGTTAATTACGGCGGTTGCTATGTCCGGAATCACATTATCCTGATTGTGACAATTTGAGATATTAACAAACAATTTTCAAATTATAATTTTTGTTTACTTTTACACCGCTATTGAAAATGGTTAAACCAGTAGTGGTTTTCATAAGTGGACCCAGCAGTCGGTCATTCTGCATCATTGCAGCCATCAAAGGGCCGAAGAGCCACATGTTGGCGTACAAAATCCTTGTTCCGTAGTCGGTCTGTTTTAAAACAAATAAAAACTATAATTGAATTTTTATATAAACAATTTCCATAACGGACATCAGGGGCAACATAGTGAAATGCGTCACTTTCAGGTCCAGTTCCCAAAACACTTGGTTGTTGGTGTTCTTCCAATTTGCCCACGGCTCTGCCCAAAATTCCAATTGGGGTCTCGGCGGGTGGGAAACTGGAGTGCTGCAATGTCCCCGTTACCTCTAGTTTTAGGTACAAAAATCCTTTTTCAGACACTGCAATTCTATTAGTATTTTTTCCAGACAGATTAAATTAATTCAAAGATATTAAAATTCAATCTACTGACAGTGCAGCTGGTTTGGTGACGCCGGGTAAAATGTTGTCGGTCATACTAATCAGGCCCTCGTCAAATACAAAATCAAGCTTTTCAACACCCAATTCCCTGAGTTGAATAGCTATATTGTGTGCTCCGTTGTTGCCACCAATCTACACAAGTTAAAATTAAAATAATTGTGTAGCTAAAGTTTAATTATTTCGTTTGTTCTTTGAAATATTGAGCTTCCAAAAAATTCCACAAAAATAAAAAAAGACACAAATTTTAACATTAAGAACTTGTAATTTAATTTTAAAGTTTTTGAAATCCAAATTAATTAACTTCTGTCGTTAAATTTGAATTTTTTTCAAACCAAATAATTAAATTACTCACCTCTTCGTCATGGCCAAACGCAATGAAAAAAGTCCGCTTGGGCTGCACCCCCTGACTCAGCCAATACTCCAACGCCTCCATGATGCCCTGTCGCAACACAATTTTTTTTTTTATTATTAGATTCGCTTTCAAACCACGCTTATAAAATCACCATCACGCCTCCCTTGTCGTCTACGGCGCCGCGACCCCAAATTTCGCCGTCTTCGATTACACCACCGAAAGGGGGATGTTTCCAGTTGGCTGGTGGTGCCGGAACCACGTCCATATGCGCCGCCAACAAGTAGGGAAGCTTCCCGGGCGTTGAACCGGTCACTTTGTACAACAAGCTGTACTCGTTCACCACATATCTTTCGATGAAATCCCTGTTATGGATATTTGGGAAGCCTAAAATAGTTCAATTATTATGTTTTATAAAACATTCAGTCCTAGTTACATCAAAATTTTATTTGCTTAGGGAAAAATATAATAATAAATCATTTACACGTCAACACGTGAAATTAACTTTTTTAGTTTATGAAGGTAAAAAGCTTTTAAAATTTAAAGATTTTCTTTTATTTATTTTGTTATAATTTACATAAATTTTTATTGTTATTTATTTGTTAAATTTTACTTTTCAAGATCCACCTCTTTATTTAATATGTTAAGATGGATAAAATTCAATAAAAGAGGGATTGCATGGCAGAGCCTCACTATGAATAAAACTTCAAATTAATTTCCATTCAATCTATTGTCCCTCTTAATATTTTATAGTTTAAATAACACATCTTTGTTACATTCTGTTAAAAAAAAAACTATGTATTGATTCATAATTATAATTTGTTAACATGTTTGGTAATCACGTGTGAATATATTTTACCGGAAATGGCTTTAAAATTATTCCCAAAAAATAAAAAATAACAATTTTGGTGTATTATATTTTTTAAATAAAATGGGAATTAAAAAAAGGAATAAAATTGAAAACACCTCCGTAATTCAATGGTTTAATAATTAATTTTTAGGAAAAATATTGCTCACCGTCTAGCAAGTACTGGTGAAAAACAGGAAACTCTGACAAATTCTGGTTGTTCGCTGAGTAGGACACGGTCTCTATTCGGAGAGCTCCAGCAAACCGTTCTGCTCGCTCCAGAAGTTTGTCATCCGTGATGCCCTCGGTTTTGGCGTCATTTAAAATCCCGATGTTGCCCTGCGGTGCCGTGATCACCGCCGCCTGAATCAAAACCACGATCAGCAGGATCAAAATGACAAAAACCGGGACACCGATGATCGTGGAGAGCAAAATTATCCAAAAGCGGCGGGAGCGGGGCCTGCCGCCTAACTCAAATTTAGTTTCTTCCCCCATAATTAAAATTTTGATCTCTGCAGCCAAAAAGTAACAGGGAGACTGACAAAAGAATTAGATAATGGCCGCAAAATCACTGTCCGATAGTGAGAGATTAGGCTGATGGCGAATATTTAATCCAAAGGTTAGTTAATGCAGAATTAACGAATCAAAGCTCTGATAACGAATTATTAAAATTGGTTTCTTATCTTGTGACAAACAACGCTAAACTTTCATTCTTAAACCCAGTTAACTTATTAAATATAATAAAATAAATTTCATGTGAAATGTATTAAGAATTTTAATAATGCGTCTCACAATCAGTTATATAAGCATGGTCATTTAGGCCAAATGAAAACCTTGAGTCCAAGATACTCAACAGCTTTTAATGCATAATTTAATAGGAAAAAATGATTTTTTCCCTTTTATCACAGCTTGCTACCCAAAACAATCACTGGCCGTTTTCTAGCAGTAAATAATATTTTGTTTAATTTAAGTTATATAAAGCCTTAATTACACAGCCATTGCATAATGTTTATTTGAAATTGAAAACAAAGAACGAAAATTCAAAATAGCGACTCGATTTGATTTAAAAAAAAGTGTGAGGTTTTGGCCATTTGCACTTCTGGTCTCTGCGACGTGAAGCATCCTTCAATATAGAGACTGGATACCTCTTACCGTTTCATGCGCTCCTGATACTGTATCTCAGCATAGCTGGATCTCGCGAGTAACTCTGGTGAACAAACGCCGATTTAGCTTTCTGCTGAACAAACCCTGATTTTTCAAGTTTTCTCTTTGCAACGCGTGTTTTTACAAGGGATTCTTCCAGCACTTCAAATTTATCATGGAAAAAATTTTATCCACCGCAAAGTTCAGATTTACGTACAAAATAAAAGAAAAAAATCCAAGATTGCTTTTTGCAACTTTTCGTAAGCTAAAGTGTGGTAAATTATTGTTTGCTTCTTGATTTGAGAGAATTGAGAGACTACATGCATACTTATTGCAGCTCACTCAATTTTGTAACAGAGGCACACAGAGAAAAACAAAATTATCTCGAAGTTTTATTTAACTGAGAATAGGAAACTCGTCTCTGCTAATTCAATAAGTTTTAATTTGGTGTTCCTGAGTTATTATAATTTATATTTTTTCAAAGCTGATGTTCTAATTAATTTTTTAAATATGATATATTTTCCATTAAATTGTAATGTGAACATTTCTTCATTCAAAATATAATTGTTTGGCTGTTACTGGATCTAACTTTTTATCTAACATTTTAATTGGGACATTGGCAGGATCCTCACTTCAGTGGGAAGGCCACAAGCGGTGAAAAACTGCACGCGGACGGTTGGGTGCGCTGGTACGAGTTGAAAGACTTCCTGGACGCGTCCTTTTACAACCTGTGTCTGCCAATACCGGCCAAAGACTGAACTTTTACCGTTAAAAAAAAGTGCTTCAATCTGTGATGCGGGAAATAAATTGTGCGTTAAATTGTTTCACACAATTTTTTACACAATTAAGTACTTGTAAAATATACAAAAATTTTATCAAAATATTCATTTTTAATCAAACATTTTTAATAACAAAAAATCTTTGGTTTACCAATTAATCGTTTTATATTTTAAAAAAAAATACAATAAAAATATATAAATATATCTAACTTATATAAAATGGTAAAATACTTCCCATTTTAATTTAAAAATTATTTTTTCCTCCATAAAAATGTAACATTCTTGAAATGCTTTGTGATTGAAATGGCGAAGGTGAGCAATGAATCAAGAGTCGTGACGTCCGGACAAACCGCATCCGTCAAACTGCAGGACGAGCTGAGATGCGCCGGTGGTGACACAACATTGGCCATTGTGTGGCGGTCAACGCAGCGCATAGACGAAGATTAATCGATTTCGCGTTCGCGATGATTTGAGTGTGCAGACTGGTACGTTATATTTTCCACGGACGGGCCCTTTTGTGGCCCTGGGTGGTCTTGACGAGGGGCGAGAGCAGAGAGACGCACCACTCCAACGTCAGACAAAACGATAGGAGCACCTCGACGGGCTGCGTCGCGCGACGGGACCCTCTCCGAAGGGGGCTTGCTTTAGGAAAAAAAATATTGTCAAACGATTGATTTGAAAAAATAAGGCTATGCAGAAATTCGATCTGAAAAAATAAAATTCAGATTCAAACAAAAACATTACCCCCAACAGATCTAATTGTAAAAAAAAATGGGAAAAAGCATTAAAAGGACTCTTTATTGACATATGTAGTCAAATCAAGTCTTAACAACAATTGTAGTTAAATTTTCCAGTAATTTATATAAAATGTTTACTATTGTTGAAAAGACTTTATTTGACTACGTCAATAATGAAGCCTTAAGTTAATTTGAATATAAAACAATATATTTTTTGCCTCTATTTTAAATGTTTTGATACTTAAAATAATTCACAAGTTTTGTACAATATTTTAATTTTCATTGATTTTTAAGTACAGAGAAATAATTGTAGAAATTTCAATTAATTAAATAGAAAGTAATTTGGTATTGGATTGAATTGAATGTTTTTCATTAATGCGAATAAAAAATCTAAAGATTTAAAAAAAAAAATGTTAAAAAAACGAAGCCAGTATTTAGAGCAGAAGGTCCCGATTAATATTTTCCTTTTGATGGAAATTGACATTGACACAAATTGACATATGTACCGTGCAGCGTGCTTGTTGCACAAAGCGATCGTCGTCGTGTTTGGTGTCCGCGGCGAGTATTCCTGATTAAACGCACAATGGGCAGCAGCCTCTCTCTCAAAACATTTGCTATTGTCCCGAGTCGATTTCTCCCTCGCTCTCGCGTCTCAGCTGCTGCGAATCAAAGAAAAGCACATATCGTAAATTGCCGACGCTCAGCAGGCCAAAATATTTATTAGGAATTTTATGTCTTCAACCGGCATTGAAGCAACACTCCCTTGTAATATCGGGATAAGTATAAATTACGCCGGATTATTGTATTTGCGCCGGCCGGAAATCGGCATCGTTTTGTGCAGGAACTGTCAAAGTCGTCATTTTAGGAAATAATTTTTCCGTGGCGGTTTCTTGTCTTGACTTTGTATTATTTCCATCATTTCATATAATGTTTCCCACCAGGAACGAGAAGTATGAAATAAAACCGACGTGACAACACGCAATTAGAAGAGAATAAAAGGGTCTGAAATCGAAGGGGTTGATTTTTTTTTGCCAAAAAGGGAAGCAAACTTTGTCCACTTTTGCCGAGGAAATCCAAGTTTCTGAATTTAGAGGGAAGTGGATTTCGTCACGGTGCCGAATGTTAAGAGTGATTCTGTTTGCTTGAGCACTTTTCAATACGCACTCAAAATAATGGCGATAAAGATGTCAATGGAGCTGAGCCCTCGCGCGCGCTCTCTCGAAAAGCGAGTCATGCCGAGTTAATCACTTAAACTCACATAAATTGGCCCTCGGCATACATGCACAAAAAAATCTCGTTTTCTGTCACAATCTCGCCTCAAATGGGTTGAAAAATTAAATTTACAACGTACGCCGGCGTCGACCCCTCGCTGCCCTCTCCTCGCCTGGACACGCTTTTTTAAAATCCGAGTGGAAATTCAGAACTCTCTTCCTATTGTCATTGAAATCAGACTCGTAAAAATCATCGACTGACCGCAGATCTTTCATGAAATATCCATTCTTTATTGAGTGGTCAGCGATTTTTACACGATTTTTATCGAGCGGAAAAATAATTGGCTCAGATTTCTTTTGTCCGATTTGGTCAGAAAATTGGCCGTTTTAATTTCAATTTAGAAGACTAACGTATTTTTCTTTTTTCCTCTTATAGATTTTCACTCCAGTGATCGATGAGAGTATATTATGAATATATAGGATGCTTGAATTTTAATTTATTTATCCTTTTGAATATTTAATTTATTTCACCTCGGGTGATTTATGCCGTGGCCCACCGATTACCGAATTTCGTCCTCAGCTGCTGATCACAATGCACGCGTGTTTAAAATGATAAATAGCAAAGCTTTTTTTTTTTATCAATTTTTAATCCTCACTGGCGTCATCCCCTCTTCTATGGATATTTTATTTCAAACGCTCACGTGACCACAGCCATAAATATCACTTTTTTCACTGTCTATTTTTTTTTTGCCGCGACGAAATAAAATAATATACGCAGGGAAATATTTTGAATAATTTTAACACGCTTGAGTGGTGCCGTAAATTTTTCTGTTTTGACACTCGTCGTGCAAAAAGCTTCTGGTCAAACGGAAAAGGGTTGCGCGGCTTGCGCGTGTGCAGTCAAGGAAATTTTCCACTTTGATTGCAGACAAAGAAAGAATATGAATATTGAATATAAATATTTTTTAGTCACATCTTCCAAAGCACCGAATGTGTCTCTTATAATAAATTATTTTTGAATTATATGTCGTAGCGATATAAATTTCAAATTTCCGACTTCTGTTGGTTTTAAAGTCAAACGCCGCACGTTAGCTCATTGTCGCGTGTAATCAGCACGCACTCATGCAAATATGCGCCCGTGGACCCCACGAGTGTCTCGTTACCCCTGCTAGGCTATTATATGAATTTTATTCATTATTGGCAGTGAATATAAAAATCAGCACGAAATCAATGCATAAAGACCAGCTGAATCGCTAAAAGAAAAGTAAGCAATTGGTTTTCTGGTATTTTTTAATTTTGTTCGAGCCATTTTGTTTTTTAAAGACTTCTCATTGACCTAAAAAAATCGTCTTTACAACAACGATGTTTCAAGTTTAAAATTTACAATTGTTTTCAACTAATTGCCAAATAATGGCTCCTATTGTTGTTCAGACTTGATTTGACTATGCAAAATAAGGGATCCTTGATAGCTTTCATTATTACGATGCAAAATCAGTAAATTATCAAAAATAATGATGAAAATTATTATTTGTTTATTTTTTATTACAATTTTAATTTTATTGAATCCAAACAAATTTCTCTTTAAATTTAGGGCAACTTCAAGTTTTTATATCTGCTGTGTTTTCCGTGCAACATTTTTTGTAAAAAACCTAATAATTTCTTTTCGCGCTTATCACAGCGCGGATGTGGTTTCCTCATTTTCACAATTGTGAATGAATTTAACTCCATTTCCAGGTTCGCTTGCTTTCTTTGACTAGAGCACCACTCACAGGCACCTCAGAGCGGCAGCAGCGTCGCACCCCGGCTCGTTCTCCGCTCCCCTCGCCACCCTCGGGCCGGCAGCGGTGTTTATTTTGCGTGGGCGGGCGCAGCCGCACTGCCGACGGCGCCGCGTTCATTGATTGATTCGGGTTCATTGAGAAGCACAGTTCTGGCCCAGGCAGAGGCGCTCGCCCCTACTCGCCGCTGCGTCCCAGAGTCTCACCAGCCGCCCCCTCGATGGAAGCGCCCTAGAGATGGCCACCCAGAAGCCCGTCGAGTGGGTGTCGTCGCTCATCATCCGCTTCGAAGAGCAGGTAAGTCCTGAAAAGTGCAAAAAAAGTGCAGGAAATTCACACAAAAAATCTGCATTCCGCAGCTACCATGCCGGACGGGGCCTCTGACCACACACTCCAAGGTCAACATGGACCAGAACAAGCGGTGCCTCATCGAGATCAGCAGGCACCGCTTCTCTTTGGTCATCTCAGGGCTCACTAAAATCCTCCAAAGGGTCAACGAATTGGTAAAATTAATTAATTAATCATGCTTTGGAAGCTGAAGGTTTTATTTGAACAGTGTTTGATAAGCGGTCCTCGACCTCACGGTCCAGACTACGAAAGAAACCTGAACGAGAGTCTGCTGATTGTCCTAGACACCCTGGAGCAGTGCCTCAGCGGCCAGCCCAAGGACACGGCTCGGTTCGACGAAAACATGAACGTAAAACTCTTGCTTCGTGAAATCTGCCAATTCATTGGCAATGGTAAAATTAATTTTCAATTAAAAATTAATTTAATACAATAAATAAATTTTAGATCCGATTCATGAGGCTGCAAACTGTGTGAATGTCAAGAACTTGGCCTCAAAGGTGCTCTTTGCCCTCAGTCTGAACTTTTTCAATGCAGTTTTCAATCGAATCTCAGCCAGGTAAAATGTAAATTGTACCAAATGTTATTTAATTTAAATTTTTTAAATAGGCTGCAGGAATTAAGCGCGTGCAGTGATGAAAACCCGGACTACAGCGACCTCGAATTGATTCAGCACATCAATGTGGACGCTGTCCGCCTGGCCAAACTACTGAGCGGTAATTTTAAATCTCATTTTATTTATTAAAATATTAAAAAATAAATTTTAAATTTCAGAGACAAATGCAAAATTTCGTCTGCTAAAAAAATCTGCACACTTGGTGCTGATCAACTCCCTGGAGAAGGCCATCTGGAACTGGATGGACACCTATCCACAGGAGTTTGCTGAGTTGCAGAAAAGCCCCAATGAGGAATTATCCAAAAACTGTGAAATCCTCTTTGACATCCTGGACGGACTGGCAGATAACAAGAAAGGACGAGCAGCCGTGTGGCCGCTTCAAATCGTCCTTCTTCTACTGTCACCGGTAAGTTTATTTAAAATTGTCTTTAATCTTTTTTATAGTGAAATTTTTAATAATTTTAGAAAGTGTTGGAGGAGATTATGAACGCAGACAGCGGCGCTCCATGTTCTCCGAGGCACTCGAAGAAAAAACAATTCATCGACGCTGTCAAGAGGGCTGTAGGTTCACATGGCGCTTCCAAACAGCAGACAGAAGCTGCAGCAGTGACCTGCGTGAAACTCTGCAAGGCCTCAACTTACATCAACAACATTTTTGACTCCAACCACACTGCATTTGTCCTTGTCCAGAGCATTATTAATGACCTAAAGGTGAATTATTTTAAATAATAATTTAATTTTATATTTTAATCATTATTTTCAGACATTGCTCTTCAGTCCTCCAAAGCAGTTCTCCCGCGGCCAGACTTTTATGGCTCATGACATTGACTTGATGATCGACTGCTTTGTCTCCTGCTTCCGCATCAAGCCTCACAATAATGAGGCCCTGAAGGTCTGCCTCAACCCTAATTCGCCCCCAACCTACCACCTCGTCCTGGTCAGCTCACTTTTCAGGTATTAATTATTTGAATTTTAAGATCCAATAATTGATTTATAAAAATTAAATATTTGTAGGATCATTACCCAGCCAAGGCTTCCGTGGTGGCCACAAATTGATTTGGTTTACAACAAATCCTCCGAGCTGCGCAGTATGTTCACAGACACCCTGAACAAGGTCACTCAGGGCTGCATTTCCAGCACACCATTGAGGATGATTCAGGTCAAAAATTTAATATTTGTTTCACAAGCTAAATTAAAAAAAAAATATGTATGGAAATGTGTAGTCTTTGGCCCTGAAAGGACCTGGCGCCTCAAAATTCCGAGAAAAGGGTGAAGAGGTTCCCAGTTACAAGAACCTGCTGCTCTGGATGGTTCGGCTTATTCATGCTGACCCAATGCTCATGCTGAATGTAAATTTAAATCACATCATTTATAATTTATAAATTGCTGTAATATGGCCTATTATTTAGAATCAAGGAAAAGCCGGCCACGAAATCCAGAGTTCAACACTTGAGCTGATCAATGGCCTTGTGTCTTTGGTGCATCAACCGACTATGCCGGACGTGGCTCAAGAGGCCATGGAGGCTCTGCTGGTTCTCCACCACCCTGATAAAATCGAAATGTGGAATCCAGAGGCGCCGATCAACACATTCTGGGACGTCAGCTCTCAGGTGCTATTCTCCATCTCGCAAAAGCTCATCCAACACCAGATCATGAACTACTCGGACATCCTGAAGTGGTTGCGGGAGATTTTGGTTTGTAGAAACGCCTTCCTGCTGCGGCACAAGGACTATGCCCACGTTGGAAGCCACATTGCCATCTGCAAGCAGGCCCAGATCAAACTCGAGGTACCAATAAATTTAATAATTTTTTTTTTTATATTAATTATTTTCTAAAAGGTGGTGTTCTTCATGTATTTGTGGAGCATTGATCTTGAGGCTGTGGTGGTAGCCATGTCCTGTTTTGCCCTTCTTTGTGAAGAGGCCGACGTCCGCTGTGGCACTGACGAGGGCGCCGCAGCAACCACCCTTTTGCCCAACTACACCGTCTACCAAGAACTGGCCTCCGCCTCCACCCTGCTCACCACAGGTACTCTCTACCACCCCTGCCCTGTTACCCTTTTGCCCATAGACGTCTCCACCCTGATACACAAGCTTCTTCTTGCTCTTTCTTTACTCACTAATCTGTGGTCTGGCCTGCAGCCAGCTTGGACTCTTCACGGGTTTACTGCAGGGAGCAAAGCAATGGTAGGCTTTTAGCACCTTCACTCTCGCTTCCCTCGCTCTTAACTTATTTCCCTGTCCATTTTGAGAATGCTTGTTTTAATTGCAGGTTCTTGGTTTCTGAACTTTTTTAATGTTATCTTTGCATTTGGCTTCGAGAATGTACAATTTTTATATTGCTCGCAGCTTTAATTCTTTTTCCAATTTTAATGAAAATTTTCAAATCAGGTCGTGCAGCACTGCAGAAGCAGATTATGGCTCTGCTGAGGAAAATCGAAAACTGTGTGAATGGGGTTCAGCCGGTAATTTCTTATTTATTTTATAAAGTATTTTTAGTCTATAAAATCAATTTACTAAGGCTTGGGAGGAGACCTTCCGCAATTGGGAAGCAAGTACTCGACTGCTCACTTCGTACCCAAAGACAAAATTAGACGAGAGCCAGGTAGAGGCCTTCCACAGGGCTATGGGCAAGCGCCGAGCTTCTCACCACAATTCGGAGCACGAGTTGGAGGTTAAAGCGCAAAATAATTTAATTTTAGTCCTAATTTTTTTAAAATTTGTTTTTATTGTGCAAAATTTAGGATCAAATAAATGAGTGGGCAAACATGACTGGATTTTTGTGTGCTCTTGGTGGAGTTTGTCTGCAACGAAAGGCGTCCGGTCGTCCAGCTCTCAGCGCCAGCTCTTCAACCTCCTCCGTATCCACTGAGGGTAGAAAGGTCAGCGTCTTACCTCCAGGAGGTCAAGACGTACAATACTGCCCTGTCACACAGTACGCTGAAAATGAAATTATTAGAATTCCTAAACTTACAATGAATTATTTAGATTTGTTGGCCAATTGTTGAGATTGTTAGTGTGCAGCAATGAAAAGTTTGGAGCTCAAATCCAAAAGCATGTAAAAGAACTGGTCGGTCATGACATGCACCCAGCGCTATATCCGATTCTCTTTGACCAAATCAAGTCCATCGTGGAAAAGTTCTTCGACTCTCAGGGTCAGGTCATCGAGTCTGAAGTGAACACCCAGTTCATCGAGCACACCATTTTCATCATGAAAAACGTGCTGGAGAGCAAAACTGATCAGCCTTCTGAGCATTTAGGGACTACTTCCATCGAGGGCATGATGCTGGCCATCGTCAGGTATGTGAGGCACCTGAACCTGCTTGTCCACTCCGTCCATATCAAGACAAAGTTGTGCCAGTTGGTCGAGGTCATGATGAAGCGCAGGGATGATCTGGCCTTCAGGCAAGAGATGAAGTTCCGCAATAAACTGGTCGAGTACCTCACGGACTGGGTCATGGGCACCTCACACCAAATCCAACCTCCGTCCTCGGGAGATGGCTCTACAATGACCAGGTTAGTTTTTTTTTTTTAACAAAACAGAATTTGAAAATTTGATTTTTTTAAATTTTTACGCCAACAGGCATAGGGATTTAGATCAAGCTGGCATGGAAGCTGTAGCAGCTCTACTAAGAGGCCTGCCTTTGCAGCCAGAAGAGTCAGACCGAGGGGATCTGATGGAGGCAAAAAGCCAACTATTTTTAAAGTAATTGAAAATCTTTTTAAACGTTAATTCAAAATTATTAATTTTAATTTACTTAGATATTTCACATTATTCATGAACCTGATGAATGACTGTAATGAGGCGCAAGAGCTGGAGAAAGACATGGCCCGTCAAAGAATGTCAGCTGGAAAGTTAAACACCTTGAGGAATGTGACCATTCAAGCAATGTCCAACCTTCTATCTGCAAATATTGATAGTGGATTGATGCATTCCATTGGTATTTTTAATTAATAATAAAAATTATCATTATTTAATGTAATTTTCGACTAGATCTGGGATACAACAGAGACTTGCAGACCAGAGCAGCTTTTATGGAGGTGCTGACTAAAATCTTACAGCAGGGCACCGAGTTTGACACTCTGGCAGAAACTGTCTTGGCAGACAGATTTGAACAGCTCGTCCAGCTAGTCACCATGATCAGCGACAAAGGAGAGCTGCCCATTGCAATGGCTCTGGCCAATGTGGTGACCACCTCGCAAATGGTTTATAATAATTGAGAAATTTGAATAAAAATTTATAATTTGAAATACTCCCAGGACGAGCTGGCCAAAGTCCTAGTCACTCTGTTTGACGCCAAACATCTACTCAGCCCTCTGCTGTGGAATATGTTCTACAGAGAGGTGGAAGTCTCAGACTGCATGCAGACTCTTTTCCGAGGAAACTCGCTAGGCAGCAAAATAATGGCCTTCTGCTTCAAGATTTACGGCGCCTCCTATCTGCAGTGTCTCCTCGAACCGCTGATACAGCCTTTGCTTGACGAACCTGGCACTTCTTTTGAAGTTGACCCAGCTAGGCTAGATCCCACTGAGGACATTGATAGGAACCGATACAACCTAAGAACACTAACCCAGCGCGTATTTGACGCTATCGTCTCATCGGCTGACAAGTAAGAAAAATTTGTAATAAACTAATCTCAGTTTTAAAGTTTGGTTTAGGTTCCCCTCACAACTGAGAAGCATGTGCCACTGCTTGTATCAGGTGCTGACCAAGAGATTCCCTCTCTTTCAGCAGAACAATATTGGTGCAGTTGGAACAGTGATTTTCCTGAGGTTCATCAATCCAGCAATTGGTAATAAATAGAGCAATTTTGAAAAAAAAAATTCTATACCAATTTACTTATTGAATTCAGTTTCACCTCTTGAAATGGGAATTGTGACTCGCCAACCACCAGCATCAGTCAAAAGAGGCCTAATGTTGATGTCGAAGATCTTGCAGAACATTGCAAACCATGTTGAATTCAGCAAAGAGCAACACATGGTCCCCTTTAACGACTTCCTGAGAGCCAACTTTGAAAACGGTCGTAGGTTCTTTTTCCAAATCGCATCGGACTGCGAAACAGTGGACCAAGCAAGTCACACCATGTCCTTCATAAGTGATGGAAATGTCCTAGCGTTGCATCGTTTGCTGTGGTCTCACCAGGAGCGAATCGGGGACTACCTGTCCAGCAGTCGAGACCAGAAGGCTGTTGGGCGAAGACCTTTTGACAAGATGGCAACGCTGCTGGCCTACTTGGGCCCTCCAGAGCACAAACCTGTGGACTCCCAGTAAGTTAAGCATTGGTTTTCTTCTATAGCAAGAAGAGAGTGGCATTAAAATTTGTCTTAATAATTAGAATTCCCCTCTCAAGAAGTTTGCTGTTCCCGTCGTATTCGAGATGGAGCTCCATGGACATGTCCAGTAGCAGATTTGAGGAAATTATGACCAAACACAACATTCTAGAGAAGGATGAGTTCAAATCGATCAAATCCTTAAACATATTTTACCAGGCCGGCACCTCAAAACTTGGAAATCCTGTATTTTACTATATTGCCAGGAGATACAAGTAATTTATTTTTTATTAATTTTAAAAATCTAATATAATCTTTTAATAGGATCGGTGAAACAAATGGGGATCTTTTGATTTACCATGTAATTCTGACGCTGAAGCAGTTTTGCCATGCGCCGTTTGAGTTGGTGGTGGATTTTACCCACACCTGCAGTGATAACCGCTTTAGGCACGTTTTATTTATTACCTTTTGATTGTTTAAAAATTGAAAAATCTATTTAATCATGGCTATCTACAGGACTGAGTATTTACAGAAGTGGTTTACGGTTTTGCCAGAGGTCGCTTATGAAAACCTGCACGCTGCGTACATTTACAACTGCAACTCATGGGTGCGCGAGTACACCAAATATCATGATCGAATTTTTGCACCTTTGAAGGTAATGCCGTGATATAAATTTTACTTTTATGTGACCATGCATCAGAAAATTTTACTATCCACACAGGGCAACAGAAAACTGATTTTTATTGAAGCTCCTGGCCGGCTGAATGACTTCATCGAGCCAGAGCAGCAAAAACTGCCTGGAGCGACCCTTTCCCTGGATGAGGACCTGAAGGTCTTCAACAACGCTTTGAAACTGTCCCACAAAGACACCAAAGTTGCAGTCAAGGTTGGACCAACTGCAATTCAAATCACTTGTGCCGAGAAAACTAAAGTCTTGGCTCACTCAATCCTACTGAACGACGTCTTTTACGCTTCTGAAATAGAGGAGGTTTGCTTGGTGGATGACAATCAATTTACTCTGACCATAGCAAACGAGTCTGGTCCTCTGTCTTTCATTCACAACGATTGTGACACCATCGTCCAGTCAGTTATTCACATACGGAACCGCTGGGAACTCTCACAACCTGTAAGGACAGAATAATCAAATGAATTTTCTTCAATTTTAACTTGATTTAATATCAGGAAACGGTCTCTGTGCACCAAAAGATAAGACCAAAGGACGTGCCCGGCACTCTTCTGAACATGGCCCTGCTCAATTTGGGCTCCTCAGATCCAAATCTAAGGACTGCCGCCTACAACCAACTCTGCGCCCTGACAGCAACCTTTGATCTAAAAATTGAAGGACAGCTTTTGGAAACGTCAGGTTGGTTCAGTTTAAATACTATTCTTAATGAATTTATAAAAAAAAAAAAAAAATAGGTTTGTGCATACCAAGCAACAACACCATTTTTATCAAATCGGTTAGTGAGAAACTGGCCTACAACGAACCCCACTTGACCCTGGAGTTCCTTGAGGAGTGTATTCAGGGCTTCAGAGGCTCAACCATTGAATTGAAGCATTTGTGTCTTGAATATATGACTCCTTGGCTGGCGAATTTGGTCAGGTAATATAACCCTAAATTAAATTTTTCTTTTACTCACAAAAAAAAAATACTAATAAAATACAATAACCAAATTAGGTTTTGCAAACACCCAGACGAGACTAAGAGAGCAACGGTGGCCACCATCCTGGGCAAACTAATAACTCTGACAATTGAAGAGGTCGAAATGTACCCTTCAATCCAGGCCAAAATCTGGGGCAGCATTGGCCAGGTAGACATATATTTAGGTACCCAAAATTTACTACAAATTTAAAAATAATCATTCAATAGGTGCCTGAGCTGATTGACATGGTGCTGGACAGTTTCATCAAGCGCTCCGTTACCGCAGGTTTGGGCTCCTTCAAGGCGGAGGTCATGGCAGACACAGCTGTTGCCCTTGCCTCAGCTAATGTCCAACTGGTGGCCAAGAAAGTCATCGGCCGGCTCTGCAGGGTATGTATATTATTTAAAAAAAATTAATAATGTGATTTTAATCTTTAACACACCAAAGGTACTTGACCGAACCTGCACTTCTCCGACGCCCCTGCTGGAGCAGCATGTCAACTGGGATGACATTGCCATTTTAGCGCGCTACCTGCTCATGTTGTCCTTCAACAACTGCCTGGACGTTGCCAGGCACCTCCCTTATCTGTTCCACATCGTCAGCTTCCTTGTGTGTTCCGGCTCCCTAAGCATGCGCGCCTCGTGCCACGGGCTCGTCATCAACATCATCCACTCTCTGTGTACCTGCACCACTCCCAGCTTCTCAGGTGATTTCTTCAGATTATTTAATATATTTCGCATTAACTGGGCATATTTTGCAGAGGACACCCAAAGGGTCCTGAGGCTTTCGCTGGACGAGTTTTCACTTCCCAAGTTCTACCTGCTCTTTGGAATCAGCAAAGTGAAATCTGCAGCTGTGACCGCATTTCGTTCCAGCTACAGACACACCAGTGACAAACTGTGAGCAAATTGTAACTCCAATTTATTTTTATTATAAACATTTTTATCCAGGTTTGGCAGCGAAAGGAGTTTTTCAGGGTCAAAGGCTGACAGGGAGCGCCTGTCACTGACCTCGTTGGAGGTGATCGTTGACGCTTTGCTTGAGATAATGGAGGCGTGCATGAGGGACATCCCCGAGTGTGACTGGCTGCAAACTTGGACGGCGCTTTCCAAGAACTTTGCTTACTGCTACAACCCAGCCCTGCAGCCGAGAGCGCTCATCGTGTTTGGGTGCATCAGCAAAACAGCTTCGGACATTGACGTCAAACAACTGCTCAGGATTTTGGTCAAGGCTCTTGAAAGCTTCAACGACATGGTTTTGCTTGAGTCACTAATAATGTGTCTCACTCGACTCCAGCCACTCCTCAGACAGGCGAGTCTTTGAACATTTTGGATTAATAAATAATAAGTAATTGATTTATAGGACTCTCCGATACACCGAGCTTTGTTCTGGGTGGCTGTGTCAGTTTTGCAATTAGACGAACAAGCTCTGTATGCCTCAGGATTGGCTTTGCTTGAACAGAATTTACACACTTTGGACTCACAGGGTATTTTTGAGACCAAGGTGGGATTTTTCTCTAAACCAGTTTTTATAAACTTTAATTTTGAAATATTATATAATCTGACTTTCCAGTCTCTTGAAACGATCATGATGGCAACCAGGGAGCCGCTGGAGTGGCACTTTAAGCAGCTGGACCACGCCGTTGGTCTCAGTTTCAGATGTAAGTGAAATTTTTCCATCCAAATGGAATTTTTTGGTTTTTTAAGACCGGCCAACCTAGCAATTCAATTGTTTTAAATGAATGTGATAATACGCAGCAGATATGTATTTCTCGTCTTCTTGAGCAAAATTAAGCTCTGGCTTGGCCGAGCACCTTTCTTGTTCCAGACAGCTTGGCAAAATCAAAAGAGAATAGAATGAAAAGTCTCTCTGTTGAGGCAGAATGAATTGGCCGTATGTGTAAGCCTTCGTCTCAAAAATAGAGCCCTTAAAGTTGACCATCCAAACAGTAGCTTTGCTCTTTCAGAGTCGGTCTTAAAAAACCCGACGTTTCACTTACTGAAACCCTGGCCCAATTTCAGGGCCACTAGCAAATTTATGTTATCATTCAACGCCCAAATTAGCTTACTTCCATTTCGCCCTCGTTGGGCACCTGCTGAAGGGATTCAGGCACCCGACTCCAACAACTGTGTCGCGAACTACGAGGGTGCTGACTATGCTTCTGGCAATTATCGCCAAACCGGCAAAGAGAGACAAATTTGAGGTCACTCCAGAGAGCGTAGCATATTTAGCTGGTAAAAGCTGTTACAATTAAAACTGCTCAAATTTCTACAAAAATTTTAATTTATAGCTCTGGTTTCGGTGTCTGACGAGGTTCGAAGCAGGTGCCATGTTAGGCACTCGGTCACCAGGGTAATGCAGACGGAGCAAACAGCCAATGCTGGTGGCTTGGCTGATCTGGCGCAAATTTTACCGCAGCAGGCTAGTTTTTCGAAAACAAAAATTTCCCAATGAATAAATAAATAAATCTATTTTATAGCCCCAACCTTTACAAGCAAGACGGCAGAAATCGTGGGAACTTTTAGACCAAAACGCCCTTGGTGCGGTTGTTCCAGCTCGACCACCTCCACAACAACAGGCAAGTTTCCTTAAAATTAGTTGCAAAGTTTTTAGTATATTTAATGATTGGGAAACTTAAAATTAAAATTACAGTGTTGAATAAACTTTTTAATCAAAAACCTTATTTTAGGCGCGAAGTGCTAGAGTTTCGGTTTCAAATGAGAACAATGTGCTGCTGGACCCTGAAGTGTTAGATGACTTTCCTACACAGGCTCTCGTCCTCACAGTCCTGGCGACTTTGACCAAGTACTCTACCGAGGATGCAGAAACCAGAATTCTGTACGAGTACCTTGCCGAGGCTTCGATTGTTTTCCCAAAAGTATTTGGAGTGATGTGAGTCTTTATTTTTTCTTAAAATTGAATTAAGAATTAATGACCATTTCAACAAATCAGTCACAGCCTGTTGGACGCCAACATTCAGAAGGTGCTGACGCTGTGCCACGATCAGGAGATCCTGGGCGCCGTGCAGGCAATTATCCAGAACATGATTGCATGCGAGGATGCCAGCCAGCAGCAGCTACATTATCTTCAGTCCTGTGGCTTCGGAGGCCTCTGGCGCTTTGCCGGACCATTCAAGTGTGCTAGCTGTGCTGAGCACGCGCAACTGTTTGTCAACTGTCTTGAGGCCATGGTTGAGACGTGTCTGCACGTCGAGGAGGACGGCAGCGAGATCACACAGTACCCGTCCATGCTCAGCGTGAGCTCCAACATGAACCTCTCATCCTCAATGTCCAGCCTCACACTTGGATCACCCACGGAAAAAGGTAATTTATTATCCATAGGTTCTAAAATTAATTTAAAATTCTTAATAAATAGTATCTCTAAAAAATGCAAAATTATTTTTTAAATTATAAATGACAATGAATTTTATAGAAACTATTTTTTTCTCTTTAAAAAACTGCCTATTTATCTCTGAAAGTTCTGGGACGCAAAAATTTAAAATTTAAAATCAAAGTCACATGACTCAATAGAATTTATTTTCATGTAACTTCTCAAGCCCGTCTTAAATTATTGAACATTTTTTAATTCTTTTCTCTGCTAGACTCAATCTTTTCGGCAGATTACGTTGACGGCTTTGGCGCTTGCTCGACCACTGATTCGCGGTCTCTGCTGCACCAGTCTCCGGTTCTCTGCTCCAACGCTTCCTCCAGCCCAATGCCCCTTGTGGCTAAACAGCGCAGCCTCAAGAGCCACAAACCAATGGGCCCGCACTCTCCACCCAACAAGTAGAAACTTCTCTTTTAATTCCCCCCTGGTTCCTGTTCGATCCTTAAGTCATTTATACAAATAATTTATTTGCATTTATTTATTGATGAAGAGATCTGTGATTTATTTATTGGTCACGCACAAACGTGGGTCGCAAAGGCTCAGGGACTCCCGTTTGATGCTGCCGAGCTTTTACCCTTGAACTGTTTCCCTCAACTTGATGGATATAATATATTCCATGTATATTCTATGTGGACGCCCATGACAATTTTGAAACCGCGAAAAATGTTACTTATTTTATAATTCTCTTTCTCTAATCTTCGCACAAAACTGTCACGGGCATCGAGATTCTATTAAATTGGATGTTATAATATTGAAAAATTGGACTCGACTCACAACCAAACGCCGATGATAATCTGCTAGGTTGGGATTCAGACTCCCGTTTTTCACGCGCACCCAAGCAAGAAAAAAACAAACATCACACCAATCAGGAACATTGGTTGTATTTTTGATCGACTTTTCTCATTGTCATACTGCAATTAGAGAATAAAAATAACACATTGAGCTCAATCATGATTGTTTTCTTCCAATCTTTGTATTCAATTATTTTTTAGATGTCACTTGGTTTTTTTAAATTAAATTCAAGAAGTTTACAGCCATAAGAACTATATTTATTAAATTAAAAGTTGTTACAAGTTTCCATTTTCATCATCATTTTGTTTTTAGCGTATTTTTTTCATATTTTTCTCCGGCGTTAATATTTACAGTGATCGATCGATTATAAATAAAAAAAAAGTATGCATCATGGAACATCATTTCTTATCAACTTCTTCCGCTTCTTCGGGCAGGGTTTTGGGGTGTGTGTGTCATTCACAACTTTCTCTTAAAAAACAGAGAGATAGAGAGAAAGCGGCGTGATAGGCGGAGGCGTTTTTGTCGCTCATCCGCCAGTTGCTCGCCGCGTTGGCTAAAAAGTAGATAGTGCCTCACAAAAAGCCATCGACATTCTCGCTCGATTAAAAATTGAAACTAAACAATAATAGGGAAGAGCAAATAATCTACAGATAAGTGGCTTTTCGCGCGAGCGCGTTTCCATGTGTGTGTGTGTGTGTGTGTTCATAAGTGAATTCACTTCGAGTAGCGTACGTAGTGAGTGAGTGTATGTGTGTGATTTGCAAGATTTGCCAAAGGGGGATTCGTTTAAATTGCAGGCGGTGCTTTGTGTTGTTTTTAAATTTCGTTTGATGACTAAGCAAGTGGAGGGACTTGACGGCTGGCCGCTGCTCGGGGGTGTTGGGAAGAGGCGACGGCCGCGGCCGCCGCTGCCAAGAACTCCCCACTTGGACTGAGCATCGAATCTCGTGAGTTGGACTGAGAGGTGGCGCGCAGCAGGGTCACCGCTTCTCGCTCCGGACTGCACTGCACGACGGCAGCTAGTCATTTCGCGCGCCCCGACTTCTTCTTCTTTCGTTTAAAGAAGCAGCAGCATCTGCAATAATAGCAAAAACTATTTTTAATAGAAAATATATAAATGTACCCAGTGGGAAGACTCAATTTTATAACAAAATTTAAGAGCTTTACATAATCAAATTGAATTGATAAATTGAAAAAGTTATCTTTAAATTTGCTTGTTTAAAAAAAAAAATATTTATATACATTCTAGTGTTACAATCTATTAGCTGCATTGCAAATTTTCCTGAATTTTTTTTTGTCATATTTAAAAAAGAAATACATACTTGGTTTCATCAACGATTTCCACTTCGGCTTGCGCAGTGATGGGCGTGTTCGAGTGTCCGGCTGTGGGGTCGTCGTTGGCTAGTTCGCCATTCGTGGAGCTGACGACCTGCAACGAGAGAAACGCGGTCAGTGTGGTCGGCAGAGTGTCGGACGAGGAGCAACTGCGGTTCGAGTGTCGAGGGCGGTCGTCGAAGAACGGTTTGTTTAGAGCCAAGGCATGCGCGCGCGACACTCACCTGCACGGATCCGTGCCTGTCGGCCGGTGTCAGGTTGCCCAGAGTATTTGACGACTGCTTTGGAACATCAGACCATGCAGCACCCTTGACTCCACCCTGGCATCAGGTCAACAGTCAAGTCAGCAAAGCAACGAAAGGTGGAACAAACGGCGCAAAACTCAGTCAAATGATAAGACCAAATACAAAAGAAAGGACAAAAACAAACAAATCGACTACGTGGAAAGCTTCAAATCTACTTTTAAATACCAAAAAGCAACAATTAATTTTGTTTTGCCCAAATTTCTAATAATTTTAAAACTAGCTGGACGAGTCTTATTTTTTAACCAGGATTGGAACTAATTCTTATAATGGAACGAATTTCTAGCAATATTTTTTGAGTAAGCAAGGGTTCAAATATTTTTTTATAGAAATAATTCAGGCGGACCTCCTCAATAACCAATTCCTCGTCATCGTCATACATTAGCCAATCCAATCCATCCTGTGGCCAAAAAAGTAAACCATTATTGAATAGAATTTTCCCATTTTTGGAGCTGCCTAACTATATCAAATATCTGAATATAGGGGGCTGTTTGCCAGAACACTCACAGCCAAGTTCCATTCTCAGTCTATAGAGACTACCAACCATAGTAATTGTAAAAGCGGTGAGTGTATTTCACTAACTATCTCGGCTCTAAGTAGGATCAGTGGCATGCTCCTCGGTAGTGACAAAACCCAAGTTTCAAGTAAAAAGGAAAACGAGAAAATGCAGTGGCAAGACAGCAAACCAAAAGTCGCACAGCGCTGCTGCGTTCGATCAATTACCCAAAGCGTTTGATTGGTATTTATGTACCTTTGCCGTATTTCGGTGCTGCTCTCTGTTAGGTGAAACAACCATCTCGTGTGCAGTCTGTAAGGAGCCCACTGGTGTTGACTGCAAACAGAAAGAGAAGCGTGTCCATTTCGTCCAAATGAGTTAACAGGCATGAACAACTCAAACAATTAAACAGTGCCGAAAAGAGCATTCACTGGATGGAAATTATAACAATTTATTATTATACAAGTTTAGATTGTTTAATTTTCAATTCAACTGTTGTGAAAAGTATGCAGATAAACTAATTGATGCTAAATTTTTTTTTAAATTTTACAGAAAAACATTCCATCCACTAAATACACATAAGAGTAGAAGTGTGCTTTTTTAATAAGGGGATAAAAGAAGGGACAGGATAGGTATTTTTTGTTGTCTACAATTTATGATATTTAATATTTTCTAGCAAATAGAGTAATTTGAATAAATTAGAAGCGGATGAGCTAGAGTTTTCTTTTTTTAACGGACAAGGTCCTTCTAGCGTTTGATACGAGACCTTGAGCGAGCGCAGCAGGCACTCACCTTGTCCGACTTGGTTTTCCCGACGTGGGAGGGTGGTGCGTTTCTGAGCACGCGGAAAACGTGGAAATTGGCGGGCTGCATGCACCGAATTGAGGAGGAGACGAGAGAAAGAAAGAGACAGAAGTGAAGACAGAAACAAATGATGTGAAAATGCATGCTCCAAGGAACAGAGAGTCGGTTTTACCATAGTCTTGCCCGTCCAGTCGAACTCGGCGTCGTCAACGTAGCCTTTCCTCTCGAATAGATCCTGGAAGAGTTTTCTCAGATACTCGTAGTCGGGAGTCTCGAAAAAGTCCAGTCTTCTGACGTAGCGCAGGTAGGTGGCCATCTCCTCAGGCTGGTTTTCGCACAGCACCTCGATCGGCGTCGCACGCTTCGTGTCGCCGATCTTTTGGTACCGCTCCTTCAGCGTATCCGCCTTCAGGCCCTGCCACGGCAGCGAGCCGCGCAGAAAGTACATGAACATGTGCCCCAGGGCCTCCAGGTCATCTCGCCGGCTTTGTTCTGGAAAAATTCGTTCATCAAGACATGTCTCATAAGTTCACTCCAGTAACAAATAGTCCGGCCATAAAGTGGCCTAGTTAATTTTGGTTGCAATTTTCCTACATTAAGAATGAATAATTTGCAGAGGTCATCAAGACGCCATGCGGTGGATATATCTTGAAATTTAAAAAAGAAATTTCAGTTTAAAAAATTGGCTTGGTATTTGAATTGCCAAAATCAAATTGCGAATCTGAGGAATGCTGGACATCAAAGTTTACATTGAGTTTGTGAGACACAAGAAAGTAACTAGGGAGAAATTTTTAAAAGTGCAATTGTGAATTAATGCAGATTCAACTTAAATGGATGAAAATTTTGACACAACGGGAGAGGTTAGAGGTTTGATCAGGCTCCAAATTTCTCACGTGACAAGCAGAAAACTTGAAACTTCTTTTTCTTTCTTTACTAGTGGGATGTCATCTCAACCAAATCAATAAAAACATTGCAAATCTCTATTTGTGCAAAAAAAATCTGCTGGAGTGGGACGGAGACGCACCTTTGCCTAAATGCGTGTTTATGCTCATATATCTAGCTGTGCCTGTTAAACTCTTGTGCTCCCGGTAAGGGATGTGTTTATTAGTCTCCAGGTCAATGTATTCCTTAGCGAGTCCAAAGTCTGCAAAGAGAAGAAAAAAATCAGTCACATACACGTTACTTAAAGATAATTCAGTGACGTCAAGCTCGATTGACGCAAATCAGCAAATTTGACTTCCGCTGAGTGAAATAATTTTTGCATGCTTTCAGAAATATTTTCCCACGATGGATTTACTATTTAGAGCGGAGGAAATTGCTGACAGATTTATTTATTAAGAGAGCATCAATTTTCAGTTATTTTTCTCACCTATAATATGTATCACTTTGTCCTTCTTGGTGGAGCTACGACCAATGAGGAAATTCTCAGGCTTGACATCTCTGTATATAAGATGTCTTGAGTGAACGTATTCTATCCTATGGAGCTGCAAATTTGAAAGTGAAAATCAGTAAACAAAGTTCATTCGAAAGGCCGTCTGGCAAGCATCTAGCTCGACGCGAGAGACAAACTACCAAAGTTTGAATTTTATGCTTTTCTATACAAAAATCTGCAAAAGTTGAAATCACGCGACGGCCAGAATGAACGCGACCTCACCGGCAAAAGTCGTGACGAATTTTAAAAAGCGTTTTCGCGCAAGGCCGCCGGCATCGCTGCGGGGAATCTTGTTTTATTATTTTTCCCTTTTTTGGCGACCGACCTTTAATTAAGGAGCGGAGAACGCGAACAAAATTCTCGTCGCAAAACTCGGGCGCTAGAGCGAAAGGGTGAAAAGTTTTGTTTTTTCTCGGCCACTCGCGGCGGCTATTTCTGTTTGGCCACGTGCTTGTGCCGACTGTGGAACGCGCGACTTCTTTCGGCGACAACAAAGGACCCGCGTGCAACTCTTTACACGCCTCAGAATAGATTTTTTGGCCAGAGCCCAAGATTTAATTGGTTTTGATTATAAACTAACGGAAAAATTGATTGAAATTTACAAAGATGAAGAACAACATAAATTACGAAATATTAAAAATAATATTATAAAGCCTCAAATACTTGAAATTCTAATCATAATAATTTTCATTTAGATAAATCGACATCTTAAAATTTTTCTACTTTCATTATTTTTAAAGTTTGGTTGGAGTAAGAAAAATAATACAAATTAATAATATATATATATATTATGTTTTTTGTAACTTCAAATGAACCTTCCACTGAGAAAATTACTCAATGATTTAATTAATTAATTTATATAACTTGAAAATTTTAAACTGCGAATAATAATTGATTAAAATAATTTACTTTAAAAGAGGTACTTGTGAGCGGGATGCGAGTTGCATTCAAATTATTCCAATTTCGTGCCAACTGATATGCGAGAGAAAAGAGAGCGCGATAAGATAATGCTAAGTGGAAAGACTGATTCAACAGTCAAGTGCGTTTCCCCGATTCGAAACGGCCTCGTAGGTTGGGAAAGGAAACCAAAATAGTCCGCGGGCACACACCAAAAGCCGACGGGGTTCATTTTTGTACACACAACAAAAGCGATTTTGCAGCTCTTTGTACAAGACTTATAAAGTATAATATATTTTAATAAACAATCTAGACTACTGACTTGAGGAAAAAATATACTTACTAGTTGAATTGCGATCATTAAAACTGTCTTCAGGGTAAACCTACGTCCGCAGAGGTCAAACAAGTCTTCTAGGCTGGGACCGAGCAGCTCCATCACGAGCGCGTTGTATTTGCCGCACGGGCCAAAGTAATACACCTCGGGAATACCTTCTGCTGCGAGCACCAAACAGAACAGACAAAAAACAACAATTAAAAAACGATTCGCCAAAAAGTTGAGTGAAACATACACAAATATACATCTGTGCAAAACAGCCAAATGAAAAATAAATTAAAAATTCTGCGGCCGATACGAAATTGAGAATTTTACTCCAAACTCAAATTCCAGCATCAAAGCCGCATGAAAATGCAAAAAAATAAAATTAGCAACAATCCCGAGTTTGTACACGATAAATTTTTTATTCACATGGACGCGGCGGGAAAATCAGTTTGTGCGCGGGGTGACAATGGAGTGTGTGTGACTGGAGCGGTGACAAGGTCGCTCGGACTGACGTCAGCCAACGCGGCACTGTACATAGAAAGAAGAAGGTGCATGCAAGCGAATGAGGCTGTAGTGCAAAGAAAACAGCACTAGAGCGGCGGCGAGAGAGCAGCAGCTTCTTTGCCATTCATTAGCCTGAGAAGAGCCAACGAGGTGTTTGCGTCTTGCGTCGGCCGAGGCGAGCGACTCACGATGTTTGTTATTCGATCGGATCGCTCAACCGCGGCTAACGAGAGAATCTCACTCGGCTTTGAGGCCGCAAACTCGCAATAATCCTTAAGTAACATGTTTGCCAATAAAAAAAACATTCAATTTAGAGCCAATTAATTTTCCTTCAAAATTAATTAAAATCAAAAAATTAATTACAGATTTTATTATTTTCATTCCAAAATTAGATTATAATTGATATTAAAAGCAAGTCTTTGAGCACGGCTTAAGCCTGATTGGAATTCTCCGTGACGGCGGCACATTGAGATAAAACATCAACAAGCCAGACACGACCAACAGCGAAAGCGACTGTTTTTATATTCATTAATATTCTGTACAACAAAGTGACGAAGAGAAGAAGAAGAATAATGGAAAAGCAGTGCAACATTCAGCCAACTCTGCGTGCGAGCGACGCGGATAACTATAATAAATTTACACACAAAACGTTTAAAATGTGATTAATCGAGCTCTCCGCTGAAACAAATTTATTGGCGGGGAAAAAAACGAGGATCGAAAAAAAATGTCAACGACGCGGCGCCGGAGGAGGAGAGAAATAAATTGTGTGTGCTGCGTCGTTATGCTATTAATGATAAATTCGTCGCCGAGCGGGGGATCCGACTTGATGAGCACGTTTAATTTTTTTCCGTTTACCACGCGGGGGACGCGAGATGAGAAGAGTCAACAGCCGCGGGCAACCGACTCGCTTGCCGTAATCAGTTCGTAAGTGAAACAGGCGCGTCGAAATTTCAATTTACGACTCAAACTTTCCCATGGACGGTCATTAACGAATAAAATGTTATTTTGTTGTAAAACCTGGTAAATTTTAAAAATTATACTTGAAATTATGAATAATAAAAATCAAATTAGCTGTATTGTAAAAATAATTTTTAAAATTTTCCGATTTATGAACAGCAAATGTCAAAGTTCGTCGTTTATTATAATCAAATAAAAAATTTGCAGATAAAAAGCTTTTGATTTGGTTTGTCTCGGAATCGGCTAGAGGCGCACGGACAGACGTGGCGGGGTCTCACGAGTTGCACGGCGACGAGCAGCACGGTTTTCAGGGTGAACCTGCGGTTGCACACGACGAAGAGGTCCTCAAGACTCGGGCCCAGCAGTTCCAGCACCAACGCGTTGTACCGCCCGCCGCACACGCCAAAGTGGTGCACCCGCGGAATGCCCTCTACTAAAACCAACCACCCTCGCTAATCATTTCAAAATCATTCGCCGCGGAGAACACAAAAGAGAGGGAAATTATTAACAAGTGAGCAAAAGAGTCTGCAGGATTGTTGGTACTATTTCAGCTGCAAGTCCGCTCTAAAAATATACAGACCAAAAAAGGAAATCTCTGCGGAGGTCTTTTGCACTCCGAGCATCAGGAAAAAATAACGACAAGGGGAAACAATCCAAAAATTTAGTAAATTTTCTCTTAATTTGAAAAATTGAAAACGAAAAATGAATATAATAGACTTCAAAATAAAATTTTGCAAATTTTTGGAATTTCCGAGCCAAAATAAAACTTTCAGAAGCGACGACAAAAACGAAAAGAAAATGAATCGGTGAGCATCGACGACCAACTGCGTACTCGCCAAATAATGATACAAGAAATGTAAAGAAAAGGAGAGAGCTCCTCATTCCGGTGCTGGCAGATCTGATGACGGTGTACCTTTGAGTTTGCCTGTGGAGCAAGTGGAGGAGGCGCCGGGCGTCGCCGATCCGCTGCCGGAGCCGCCGGCGTTCGAAGTCGACTTCCTCTTGCCCGCCGAGCCTGCGAGCCCGAAAAAACAAACATTCTTCACTCTCATTTCGGTGGTAATCGCGAAAACGGGGAGAGAAAATTAATTCGGGCGACGAGACGAGGTGCAGCTGCCGCTCGCGATGCCTGCCTTGGAAGATTTAAAGAGAGAGGCGAGAAAGAGAATGAGAAAAAAAGAGCAAAGGGGTGCTGAGAGGAAAATGAGAAAGTGTAAATTTTGCCCAAAGCGGTTCGCCGAGCGGAACATGAATTCACAGGTGGCGCACAAGGTGAAATGAGAAATGACACCAATTAAATTTGTTCTGTCGCCACGCGGGCCAAGATGCATTAAAAAAGTAATTGAAAGTAATTTAGCAATGAAATATTAATATGTCATTCTGAATATATTACACTGTTTAAAGACGGAGAAAAATATTAAAAAATTTTTATTTTGATTTTTTTCCCCTGAAAAAGAAAAATGGATTTATTTCAAAATTCCAACAAATTTTTAAAACTGTAAATTGAGCAAAAAAAAAATCAATTCCTTGATTAAACTGAATGAAAAACATCTTGCAAGTTCATAATAAAGAACTAATAGAAAATCATTAACGTTTTTACTAGTACAATGATTCTCATCGCGTTTTAATTCCGTTTCATATTTCATGAAATAAGCCGCCAGTTGCAATGAATGTATTTACATTTCGTGCCTCGATTCGTCCGAACGAGTCTGCTTCATGCTCGGAGATCGAAATGCTTTGTTCGTCAGCGGAGAACAAAGCGCTCGAGGGACGATGAGGTCACGCCGCCGCGGACTAGACGCGTAATTTTGAATTCCGACCACCAGCTCTTTCGATCCTCTCTTCGTTTTTTTTTTTTAAGAAAGAGAATTGGTAAAAGTTGCGGGAGGACGCGCGAGTCATCCTCAATTACAAGACTGGCCCGATAAGCATCGTGCATTGTTTCTTTTTCGATCGGTGCGTTCGAACGACGACGACGGAATTTCACTCAATCACCCTTGATAATATGCGGACAATGAGACCACATTGTTATCGCCGCCTATTATTCATTTTAAGTAGTGCAGCCAATTACTGACCCAATTTGATTAAAAATTTCAATTATATAATGGGATTAAATTAACAATTTTTTTTTATCTATAATTAAAAAATTGTTCATATTCAAGCAATTCAAATTATTATTTAATTAATTTGAAGAGATCAAATTCAATTTTTATCAATATTTTCTGATTCTGATATGAAGTTGTTAAACATAAGTGGTCCTTTTAGAGTTGTTATTAGGTTGGCAAAGTTGATATGTCCTGCTATTGAATTTCACCAAAAGATCGGCGCATTAGAGCTGGTCGCGGTTCGGTAATTTCCTCGGGATGAATAATGCATGGCGGACACGAGTTATAAGACTTACAAGAGACTCTCGATTTAGTCGCGCTATTTGCATAAATCACCAGATTTCCGCGCAAATTGTCCGCGCGCGTGTGACTCATTGGGGCTGCGCACACACGCGCCGCAGACGCAAGAGGTGCGTGCGCCAATCGATAACCCCTTCCGTCCCTCACCAAACTTATTTCCCGCTTTCTTTCTCCACTTCCAGCAATCCTCCACCACGATCAAATAAGATCATTGTTTGCTTTCTTCCGTTTTAATATGAGGTCTTTTCAAATAGAGATAAGATTTTATGAATTCTTATATGAACCTCTAGACTCTTTTTTCCCGATGTATTCAAAACTTTTGTGCTATTCGAACGTCAATTTGGTCGCGGTAAATGTCAGGCGATTTGTTTTGTCATCGTCGATGGCGTGGGCGGCAGAGCTAAATGAATCGGCTGCCGAGTTGTCAAATTGATTGGGGATTGAGAGAGGCTGAGCGGCGGGCGATCTGCCGAGAGAGAGCTCATTTTCAGCTAATCAAATTTTGCTGATAGATAACCAACACTCAACACTCTCAGCGGTCGAGTGGCCAAATTGGCTCAGACGGCATCTGGACTTCAGCATTCTGAATAGACCAGTGAGAGATGTAGTGAAATCAAGCAAAAATTATAATAAAATGGTCCCGTTTTTTTTTTAAATTAAAATATTTTGCAATTATAAGTCAGTCAAATTAATTTATAAAAATTAATGGCAGATATTTATGAAAATTAGTCTTGTATACAACTTTTAAATACATTTAAAAGTTCAATTGTGTTTTAATTTGTTCTCATAAAAACATACTTCGTAAACTTATTTTTTAATTATAAGTTTTAAATTATATTTCTTATTAATTATTTATATGTTAACATTGATGCTCCAATCTATTAAAAATAAAATAAATATCAGCTGATATTAAAAGCACATTCTATTTATTACTCCTTGAGGAGCTGTTTGTGAACTTTGGAGAAAACAAGACCGTCCTTGAACCTCGGGGCAATGAAACGCGATGAAAATTTTGCTATTTGTCTCTGTATAAAAATGAATCAAATTGATTCACATTCCACTCGTCAGCGGCGCCGTAACTCGATTTGCCACGATTACGCGGCGTCAAATCCGCTTACGGCACGTTGGGGTCTTCGGCCCGAGTTGGCGCAGCGGAGGACCAAGTCGGTCGGTCGTCGATCGGCGCCACCGCTCAACGGGGTGAGTCTTGACCCCAATCGATAGGGGTTGGTCCCTTAGCGCGGCATGCGCGCCTTAGGCTCACTCGCGTGCTTTTGCTTTCAAAGAGTGTGAGAAAAAAGCGAGAAGGAAATAAAAAGCGAGGATGCACTCGCGGAGGACGAAAGCGGGATCGCCGCGGTTTGACGCAGCTCGGAAGACAAACGAGCGCGCGATTCGATTTGGTGCGGCCGTGGCCTTTCAACGATTGCGCCCGACCGCAGATAAAGAGCGAATAAAAAATATATTCAACTCTGCATGCACACACGGGGTCAATAGGAATGCGCACCACGGCGACCTTCTTGACTTGGATGTGCTGATAAAGCGATGAAAATAAACAAATAATTTTATGTGTAAATATAAAACATTGTTATTCAATTTTTTTAGTACGGCTAAATATGTTTAATTAAAATCATTAAAATTGTTAATTATTTTACTTTTTAGTATTTTTTCAAGCCAAAGTTTGTTTGATTTCAATCAAATAATGAAGTACAATTAATTTCTGCTTCTTTTCACAGGGTGATTTATTTTAAAAGTCACAGTTTAAAAATAAAAATCTTGTTCTTTTCAAGCATCTGTCCGACTCAATGCGTGCGGGACGATTTTGTCATGACGCGTGGGTGGCGCCGGCGCCAGAGACGCGTAGGTAAAACAGAATTTCTGAATGGAGTGTTTGCTTGTAGGACTGAAAGGGCAAAAATCATCGCGCGGCGGGGGCCGATCGCAAACTTGTTCAGTGTGGCGCCGACGAGGCAGCAGGAAAGCTGATTACGAGTCGAGGCGCGCAAATTGGATGAAGCGATAATGAGCCTCGACGTAATTTTCCCTTTGACAAGCCGACCCTTGTTTTCGTCAAAAGGGTTGGCTCCTAGCCGACCTTGATCTGACCTAATTCATGCCTAAGCAAAAAGAACAGCGATAGATCGTTTGGTGCAGCTTTGGTACCAGCTAGTAATGACACGTGAAGTGATAACTTTCGTCTTGTGTATTTATGGGCCCATTGAATGTTGCCTGATTCATAAAGAGGGAATGATTTATGAATGTCATAATTTTCGAGTAAAAGCAACTAAAATGAAGATAAAAATTGGGATAATTCTGCTAAAAAACGTTTAAATAGATTAAGTATAATTAGAAATATGAAAATAATGCTTTTAACTTTAAGCGATATATTTTTTAGTCATTTGAATAGTGAAAGAAAAAGTAAATAAATACATTAACGGAAGTTTTAATTTTGAAAAATATTTATGTATTTTTTTTCCATTCAATCGAGGATTTATTTTTTTAAATAATTTAAGTTGTTGAGAAACTCTCAGTTAGATTTAAACAAACCAAAACAAAACCTGCGAGTGTTAAGAGCCAAGTGTAGTGTCGCGTTGGTCAGAGGCGTGACCAACTGAGCCGCACACAAAGGCGCCTGCATGCACGCGCATTAATTAGACACCGTCAGAGGAAGGTGTGTGTTGTTGGTTGGACTAACTGAAAAAAAAAAGAATCGACTCTCGCCAAAGTGGACCGGTCGGGCAGGATGTGCGGCCACCGAAAAGCACGCCCGCTCACTCGCCCCTAGCTTCTTTTACTTTCCCAACCTTGAACAACGCGCAGCCATAACTCCTGTTGATTAATTTTCCGCGAATGTTCGTTTTGCTGCTTTTTTTGCACTGAGAGGGAATCACACCCCATCGCACGTGCGGGTGACGCGAACATGTGCAGAGTCCCTCGGTGGGCGCGGGCAGGCACGTTTCAACGATACCGCAGCCACCAAGCCGACCGAGTTGTTATCGAACGAGAGGAAAACTTACACATGAGCGGGTTCACCGAGCAAAGCCCCAAAGCGGGCCACACGCGTGTTACCATCTGGGAGCGCCAGCAAAACGAACTCTTTTGACATCAAACGCTGCTCTCGCATATTTACTCGGAGCTGAGAAGCGAAAAATTTGCCTCTTCCCAGAATATTAATATGAAAAAGTCGTTAAAGGCTTGATAAGGGTGAAAGGTATTGGAAATTATTTTGCAAAATGAGACCCAAGCAAGATGAGATTCGCCATAATTTAAAATTTCCTGGAAGAAGCCACAGAATAGGGAAAGAACAAATTCGGAATGAAATCTCACATAAAACAAAAATTGTATTCCTTTTAATTGAGATTATTATTAAAAGCTGAGTTACTTTTGTTTTGCTTTTATATTCCAATTTGTTTTTTCGATCCTTTTGTTGTTTAATTTAGTCCTCTATCATTATTTTAAAACGCTTGTTATTCAACGAGATCGGCCCGATTTGGAGAATCAATCGGTTGACCAAAACAAAAATGTGCCAGCGCATCGTGACTGGCGCGTTCGATTATCGAACAGCGTCAAAGGAAAACAAAACCCTGTTCGACTCCTCCGCACGGAGCGGATCGGGGGGCAAAGTGAGCAGGTACCGACTTGGCAGTCACGTATATGCGATAATGATACACATTACGGCCGAGTGCGACTTGACCATGACGAGCTATGCGCGATACCATTTTCATCGTTTTCTTACGACGAACACAATGCGTTTAGATAAGGAGTCGAATTTCAATTTGGGCTCGCGCGTCATAGCCTGCTTCGGAATTCCCGGTATGGAATTATAGAACCGAAAAAAATTGATAGCCCCCAACGGTAATGAATTTTCGGAGAATAATTACTAAACAGGACTTTCTTTGAAATGAAAGTAAAAACGGGTAAACAACAATTTTCAATAAATAATTAATAATTTTTGTCTCATTGTTGAAACATTTTAAGTCCTGATTTTTTTTTATGATTTTGGTAGCAAATAAAACGCGAAACAAAAGAAGCAGCCATTCGCACAAATCAAGGTGCTTTCCCGCCGCGTCTGTACAGCGCTTGTATGTTTTGCATTCAGCGTATGTATAATTTGGAAACTCAAAGTGGAGTCAAAATGTCGCTGCAGGGGTGAATGCGTCCACAGGTGCTCTCGCTCTTTGTGTTTAAATTCTTGCTCCTCTTTCGTTTGCTTTTTTCTTCAGAGTCCCTTTGGAGAGGGCACTCGAGACGCCGGTGTCGCTTTTCCTCCTGAGCACTCGGCCAAATTGTCTCCCTTTCTCAAATTCGCCCTCGCGAAATGCGGCGCCGGCCGGATTTGTGTGAAATCGGTTTTGCTTGAGCGCGTCGAGGATGTGAAAAAATTCCTCCGCTCTCGCAACAGCTGCTGTCGGCGTGAATGGCCATCAAGGTGAGTACAGCAGCAAAAGGAAAACCATTACACATAAATAATTCCTCAAAGCAGTCTGCTTTCCTTCACTACATGTACAGACGTTTTATTTTCAAAACTGCAGCATTTAAGAAGCTATTTTGATTGATTTTCTGCTTGGTAGGTTTCAAATGCAAAAGTTAAACCTTTTTAATTTCTACAGAAAATGTTAAATATTAATGCAATATTTAAGAAATTAATTTTAAAGAAATTTTTTTTAGCGAAATTAGCATAGCTTTCAGAATTTTGCAGAGCGTCAATGAGTTTGTGACAGCACCCGCATTCGCCGCGATAATTCTCGCGGATCGATGTGGTTGTTGACGCGAAACAAAAGCTTGCAGAAGCAGCGTCAGCGGCGGCGACGACGTGGAAAAGCAAAATCGATGTATGCGCGCCCGTGTTTTCCACTGAGTAATTTATCTGCTGCACCTGCGAGCCGCAAAGAGCAATCCGAATTGCCAAACGACACGCGTTTACGTAACCTTGGCTGATCGAACAAACCGGACGGAAACCGAAAACGAGCGCGACTGACGACGGACGGCCGCATTCCTACTGTCTCTTGGCGCGGAAATTTGATCCTAAATTGTCTACTTATGGTACACAATGTCTTTTTAATTTTTGTATCAATTTTGTAGAAATTTATAGTTAAAAAAAAAGAAAGTGAAATTTTAAGAGTAATTTTGCACATATTGAAATATATTTCATGAAAATAAATTTTCTGATATAAAAGTAAAATATTTTTTTAAATGCATCAATGGGGTGACGACAGAACATACACTTGGCAGTTTTCTGTGGTGACAATGAGAAGTTTTTGCCTCAACATTTTTGCTGTTCTGTTGCTACGCGAGTGCCTCTCTGTCTTGTTGAATGACTAACAATTAAGAGGTTGTTGCGAGTGATTCGCAATTAAAAGACAGACAAGTCAAAAAAGAGACATACCGTGAGAGCCGAGCAGCTTGTAGAACCTGTATTCTAGATGCAGCTGCGGCGCTTTTGATTTCATCGCCTCCTGCAAAAGTTGAATTAGTAAAGACACGATTCACCACAATTTCTGAACTCACCATTTTGATGGCAACATGCTCGTTGTTGTACAAGTTTTTGCCTGCAAGCAGAAGACAAACAATGTCAAATTTGAAAATATTTTTCATTTGTCTGGAGTGAAATTTTATGCAAGGGGGATATTATTTACGCTTGCAAATTCAATCAAGCTGCAAATTGTGGCGGAAAACTGGTCGGCAATTAGCATTTCACGGCGGTTTCCGTTGGCCTTGGTCGCGACGAGCACTTAATTATCCCCACGCGCAAATCAAATACGCAAAATTTCTGTTTAATGTAAATTTAAATTTAGAATGGCAAATATTGAGATAGAGATTGATTCAAAAGAGGCATGTTGGTTGCCAGCCATTATCTTTGTTCGGCGCAACCTGTTCCTGAAGCGAGAGAGTCGATCGACCTGCCAGGGAGCGGGCGAGCGAGGGCGGTGACTCACGAAAAGGAACGTCCGCGACCTGATCCGCCGACGAGCGATTTCGCTTCTTCGCAACAGGAGAGGCGGCCATAATCATTTACCACCGACCATACGACCATACTGAGCCGCCTCCATTAAATGCTATAAGAGTATTCTGCTTTCAGCAATCGTGCTTTGAAATTTTTCATTCAAAATCTTCATCTAATTTGCTCAATTAGTGATATTTTTATCAGAATGGAAATAAATTGACACATTAATAATATTAAATGGTCTGCCTAAAAATTATTATCTGTCTGTAAATTTGAGACTTAACGATTTTGTAGACAGCTTTTTATCGCTGCTAACGTAAAAAGTTTATTACATTACTCATCTTTGTACGCCAAGGGAGAACCGAGTTTTACTATCAGCTTGTAATGTAATAATTGCTGATTCATCAAAAGCTTCCCAGTACTTGCTGCAATAATTTGACGCCCAATTTCTGCTAAAAGACATAATTATATTTTTATCTTTAATAACTGTATAGCACATGTATCTCATTTTAAATTTAAAAATTTCTTAAAATATTATTTAAAAATTTATTTAACCTAATGGCGGAAATTATCATTCCGGGAAATAAAATTAACGATAATATTGTTATCGGTAGAGTGCACTGCTAAAAATTGTGGAAGAAAAGATCAGATGATATTTTTATGAAAATTTAAAATATTTCAATAGTTCCATAAAATCAGCTACAATAAGTAATAGTTTTTTTATTTGGAATTTGAATTTTCAAAACTAAAAAAAGGGAAATTGAGATGATTATATCAAACAAAATTGGTTTTGGTAATTTATGAATTGAAAGCTGGAAATTCCAATTTAATGAAAGTCTCTGATAAAAAATCATAATATATGAAATACGAATTAATTCACGAATATTGAGTTGTAGTTTTTTTTTTATAAATTTTTCCCTCAAGGGCAATAAAATGAAAATAAATAAACAATAAAAGTTAAAATTTTTAATCGTTACAAATCTCCAGGCGCAAGGATTCTAAATTTTGAAAATTTCAACTGTTTTTATTAAATGAAAATGACCACAAAGACTGTTGGTTTTTGAGCAAATATTGTGAGGATAGCTCATGTTTCACAAGAAACAACCAAAGGAAGTGTGACGGAATGAGCTGTTGATTTAGACGTGATGAGGCGCAAAGGCCAAAATTAGTATTTAAATTAATGCAAGTTAGATGACAAATCAATAGAGTCAATCCCACTAACATGAACGTAAATTCCACTTGAACAACATATTGAAGGATCGCAGGCAACGTTATATTCTTCAAAATTAATTAGCACGAGCTGCTTGTGCAATTTTATTCCATAGAAAAGCACTTTTGTTCAGATTTTCCGAATAAACTCGCAGGCTTATCTCGACAAACAGAGTGCTCTGGGGGTTATTTTTATATTAATGTAAGGCTAGAAATGTTCAATTCAGCAGAAATCTGACGTACAGCGAGAAACAAAGTTGCGTAGTGCAACAATGAGAACATACCGAAAGTATTGAACGGAGTTATGAAAGGGCGTTGTGCAATTAGGCGACAAACGAATGAACGAAATACAAACGACGGCACCTGCTCTGGGTACGTATCGACCGCGAGCGCTTTAATTGGCACGCGGCACCTTCGACATTGCAGATTTAATTGAGCCCTCTGTGACGCACTCAGAGCGACCCTCCGCTGGGCAAAGAAACAGACAGATAGGAAAGCAGAGGCTTGTTATACAACCCTGATTTGATTTGCCCGAGCTGCTGCGTTTCGCAATTTGATTAGATTTATTCAAGCTACCCTGTTTAGTATAATTGGATTAGGCTTGTAAAGAGGATTTCACTCAAATTTATGCTGATGGGGGTTACAAAAAATTGAGACTCTTCAACTTGAATGCAATTGCGAAACTTGAAAGGAGTCTCTATCAATTAATATAAAATATTCAAAAAAAAATCGAAACTTGATTTGTTTGCACATAAACAAACACAAGCAGAACGTTTTGTCTTCCTTTGGGAAATTTTTGATCACCAGAGAGGGGGTTGGGAATATTTCGGCACTTCATTTGAAGGGCTGTTTGTTCGTTCTTTTGTGGCTTCTCGTCGGGAGAACAAACGAAATATTAATTAGCCCAACGGCGCGTACCGAGGGATGATATTAAAGTGTGTCAGGCGTTGTCGCCAACCGCCATCGAGCGTTGTTAAAACACACAAACAAAGCGCCGCTGAATGGGATACAAAAAAGTGGAGAGGGTGGCGGCGTTTCCAGGCCAGGGTCGCCGCCAGGGGTGCGCCCTGTCCGTAAACAAACGCAACGAACGCGTGCTCGGATTTGTAATTTTGATAAAAGCGGCCGTGTTAATTAAATTTTCGAAGCGATCGCAAACGGCCAATTAATTGAATCGGGGGGCAGCTGATAGGCGCCGTTAAAGTAGCACCTGCTCGCAAGTAAATGATAGTCGGAGCGGCAGATTTTTCTTTTCTGTTTTTTTTTTAATAATTTTCGTTACTTTGCACCAGAGTCGGTTTAGAAATGAGGAACTGGCACTGGCACGCGGAAATTGAAGAGGCAGAAAGCCAATTTCCGTGGAGATTCCACGCTGCAAAGAGCACGCTGATCAGCTGAAGGCCTCTGAAGCTGCTTTTTAAATTCAAGGTCCGAACGCGAGTTTAGGAGACTGAAAATAGAAATTTCGCTTTCAACGCAGGCAAGCAAAACATTTCTGCACACATTCAACGTTATCATGAAAAAAAATTATTTTTTCAATGTAAAATCAACCATAATTAACTTTCCTAAAGGCTTAAAATTTATTTCCAGCTTCCAGCTATAAGTGAAATAAAAATAAACAATATAATATATTTTTGTTTCCAAGTTATCTCTGTTGCTTTTATTTGAAAATTGGAAGAAAGACTTTCAAGAAATGTTCAGGTCTAATGAAATTTTTATCCCACACATATATTTTGAAGTTCAATGTTTATTTCTCGTTAACATTTAAAAAATAACATTTCAAAGCTTTATTTTATAATTATTTATTCCTATGTAATAAGATATTTTTTAAATAATTTAAAGCAATGATGTATATTATAATAAAATATTAATATTCTCTTTGACTCAAATTGCTTAATAAGCAATTTTATTAAAACTTGCGATGCCACTGCAAAAATAAATCAATTGTTGTTTCTTGAAAAAATATATTAACCAAAATTTTAGTGCCTCGCGACCAGTTTTCACAAGAAGTGACCCTGAGGAGGGCCCAGGGCGTGGGCGGGCAGCACAGGTTGCACCAGCAGGTGCAAGGGTCAAGAAATGAACTCACCAAGGCGCAGCTCGCCGAAGTTTCCGCATCCTATCTTCTTGCCGACCCTGAAATTGGGTCCGACCATGAGGACGCCGGACGAGCCGCTGGAGACACTGTGTCTGCTGGTGCTATGCATGTTGGACGCCGAGGTTGCTCGGACGGCAGAAGCGGCGCCGGCGACGGCGCCGGCCGCTGTTCCAGCTGCGCCCGCCCTTGAGACTCGCTTTTCCTGCTGCTGTGTTGCTTCACCGGCGGTCTTGCCCTTCTGCATGCTCCGATGCCGACCGGACGCCGACTTTGTCGTCCGCCTGGGCTTCTGCCCCGCCGCTGCTTACTAACTGGATTAGCACGACTGAAAATGGCTGCCTCACGTCCTTCCGTCACAGGTAGCCGATGGCCATCGTGCACTCGGCGGGCTTCTGCACAGTGCAACCGCCGTAGAATCTTCGCCACTTGCACCGGACGACGTCGGCCCGATCACCAGCGGCTGCCCGCGACGAAAATCAATGCCGACATGACGCACCGCCCTGCGTCTCCGTTTCGCACACTCTTTTCGTTTTGTGTTTGTCTCGTGTGCCCTCCTCCTCGCGGCCGCTCCTTCCGTGCGAATGCACTCGCTGCTGCTTCTCCCTTTGCGTTCGGCACTTCTGGCTCGGCTATTCGGCTTCACCACTGCCGACCGAGCATTTCAAACGGACACGAACGTTCCTCTTCCAGTCGTCTCAACCACTTGGCACCGCCATAGCTGAACGAGATGTGACCTCGCCGTGGATTGTGCGCAACGCAGCCGCGCATCCGGCGCTCCAGTCCATCGCGCACTTAAACTTGCCGGTGTGGAAAATGCAAAATTTACACCTCTTTTAATCTCTTTACATGTATTTTGAAGTCAAATCCTCTTAAAAATAATATTTCAAACCTTATTAAATGATCAAAGTATCTTCTAAATTAGAGATTTCTTGTATTTGACAAGACCTTTCTTTTAGTTGTGATCATTATCATGTTGGTAATTCTTGTCAAAATCAGCTGTGTTTAGAAAGAAAAAGGCGTGTCCCCAAGTTTTCAGACAACTAGCCACTGCTAGCCACATAAAAAATTTCCAGATCTCCGCGTTTTAATTTATCATATTTAAAATTAATTTTGTCGTTTACCGGCAGCTACATAAGCAGGAAAAAAAGGACATATTTTTCTTCTAAAATTTTAATTCCTGTTTAACATGTAATACATATTATGTGAGAGCCCCAGAAAAAAATAGCCGCTTCATATATGGCAAACAACAACAACTTTTGTTATCTGCTTCTAAAAACCATCTCGGTGAACCTGAAATATTACATGAAGGCTTTGCTTGTGATCAGCCTGATCAGTTTCGTTTTGTGGCAGACTGCCAGAGTCATGAGCGAAGCTTCGGTAGGCACTACAAATCATAGAGGAATAGAATTAAAAATTATGTATTTCTAAAAATCACTCTTTCAGAAGAACCGTAGTGCCGGTGTTGCATACAACTGGAACATGCACGACTCCTTCAAAACGCAGCTGCCACCATCAGCGTTTGAGGTGTCAAAAAGCATTCTAGAAAAAACAGATACCATCAATGTTGATGTAAATAATAATACAAACATTTAAGTAAAATAAAAATAAAAAGTTAAATTTTGTAAAGGGCGTCAGGGTGTTCTACAGAGAGTGCGTACCTCCAGCAAAAATTGAGCCAACTTTACAGACGATTCTCCTCTTGCATGGACGTAGCTTTTCTTCTGAAACTTGGTCCAAACTAGGCACTATCTCGTTGTTTGCTGCCCTTGGCAATAGGGTGATTGCCGTCGACCTTCCAGGTTATGGAAAAACGGAAGGGGAGCAGTACAAGAGCGACAGGGGCAAGTTCATCAGCATGCTGGTCACTGCCCTTGACATGCAGAGACTGGTCGTCATCTCACCCTCGATGAGTGGCAGCTACTCCATTCCTTACCTGACTGCTTATCCAGAAAAACTGAGCGGATTCATTCCGGTGGCACCTACCTCAACAAACAATGTCCCTCAGGACACTTTGGCCAGAATTACTGTAAATCTCTGCTTATTATATTCTTTTTTCATCTTTTATTAAAATTTTGCCGTTTAGGTACCAACGTTGTCAATTGTGGGTACAGACGATGATACAGGTTTGGCTGAGCAGGCCAACGTTAATCTTGAAGTGATGCCCAACCAGGCGCAGGTGCAAATTTCAGACGCACGGCATGCGGTTTATCTCAACCAACCACACCTGTTTCACACTGCTGTATATAATTTCATGCTTGCTCTGAGGAAGGAAATTGATGCTAGGATTGCCTAAAAATGACTGAAAATAGTAATTGTGAGCTTTAAAATTTATGTTTAAAAGATATTCAATTAAAACAATGATCTAATTAAATGTAATGCAATTATTAATTATTTATAATAAAAAATAATTACAAAGATAATAACTTTAATAAGAAAAATTAATAAGTTTAGTTCCACAGATTTTATTCTTGGCCGTTCACAAAAATACACGATGACAAGCTATATATTTTTCCTCAAGTCATGGAATGCATAAATAAAGCTCTATCATATTAAGGTACAAATGAAATCTCGACATGATTTCCCATGATCACTATTAACATTGAGAAACGAGCCTCCGTCGGCAAATCGTTATCACCGCTACAAATAAAATCAATTGGAAAGACCTAGAAGTGTGTTGCTGTGAGCTCGCGTGCTTTTGGGATAAGTTGGTTTAGTTAAAATTCATCATTCATCCTTGGGATTTCAGTTCCTAAAGTGAGCTAGTCTGCGGGGGCTGGACATGAGTTCTTTTGGGAATGTTTGATATAATATTACTTCTAACAATTCCTGGAAGAGACAAAAGATTGTTTGAATTAAGATTTTACTTAAAATTACTGCTTACGTAAATTAATTGCTTATTGTAAACCTTCTCCTGGAGCGCTTCAAAGACTTTCCTTGCACCTCTCCTGGCGCTTTCTTTCCCGACCAGATTGCACAGTATCTCTGGCACATTATCTACAAATAATTGCCTTGCCTCTTTCCTATAGAAGTTAAATGCATTAAAAATAACAAAATATATTGTTAAATTTTACTTCGTTGTCTCTTTTTCTTTCTCTGATCTTTGTGGGGCAGGAGGAGCCAGTTGGCCATGAGGCCACCACGCACTAATAAAAACTTGCAGGTAAAAATGCAGCATCGGTTCTGAAAAAATCCAGCCTACTGTTTCTCTCACTTGCCTAATTGGACAAAACATGTAATATTATTCCACAAAAAAACATATTACAAGAATCTCAATCACCTGGTTATAGTTCTTCCATATGTGATCTGGACAAAAGTAATGAGCGAGCGGCGCAGCCACCTGAACAATCCCCGTAAGTCAAAAATCTCGCCCAAGAGGGAATAAAGAGGCTCTGCTACTGCGTCTCCTCTTGGTCCACCTGAGCCATCAACCCTGCTTTCGTCGTCAAATATTAGATCAGGATCTACAAAATTGTCTTCACCAATGCCTAAGCTTCCGCTGCTGCCATTACTAAAAATCAAAATTTTAGTTTAAGTTCTTTAAGTACCAAGGACGTTCCACTACCTCTTAAAAAGTGTAGAAAGTGAAAACTTGTGTTTCTTCGGGGATGGGGACGCATGTTTTAAGAGATCAGCACTGGGACTTAAGAATGTGTATATGGCTTCGCAAGTGTTTAGTCTATCATCACCAAGAATGCGCTAAAATCACATTAAATTGATTATTGCACATTAATATCTGCTTATAGAGGAAATTTACCTCCAAATAATTCTGGATTTGAAACTTGGCCTTCTCCAAGGCAGGTTTGTCTAAAGTTTTTCCAAACAAAAACTTGCCTGAAAATGAAGGAAGCTCCAGATTTTTTACACTTGAATCCAGTTGGCTTAATGATGAAGACATTAATTATTTTTGAATAGCAACCTTCTAAGTAATTTACCATAGTTTTCTATGGAGCTCCAAGAAGTCTGGAAGCCCTCTGAGCACCACCCAACCAGTGGATATGGCATCTGCGTCATGCTCGTCTTCCAAAACATGCACTACAAGGACAAACTGTGGCGGTTCCCTTTCATCTGGCATCTATGAATATGCAACATTATTGCATAAAAATCATTAGATTTTTATTTAAATAAAAAATCAAATCAAATATTACCTCCGTAGACTGAACCATGGCCCTCCAACGTCCTAGGTGCTCACCCCAGGTTTCAGTTCTCGTCAAATGAGCCTCGAGCTGTCTGTGCTCACCCTCGAGTCGAGCCACTTCCTGCTCAAGCACCATCAATGCTTTTGCCTCCGGCTTCAAAGATGTGCGTAAGGCTTGCAGGGCCTAGTGAAATTTAATTAAGGAAAATTGGATTATTTCATAATACATTGAACAGAAGTATTTTACTTGTTTTTTGGTGATCAGTTTTTCTTCCAGCTGCATTAGCTTCCGTCTAGAGCAGTTAGGAGGCTCAACACCAGCATTGCTCATTTTTTTGTTTGCATCAGGGTCCACTGGAGAATTGGACTCTGTAAATAAAAATTTATTGTTTTTTTTTTCACTTTTTTCTTCATTCAGACCTTCGTTGTTTTCATGATCGTTGAGAGCGGCTTCCTCCATGACTGTTATCATCTTATTGTAATTTTCACTAGCTACAAAAATGGGATAGTACTTTTCTTGCAAGACGCCAACAACGTCATCTTGCACCTCGTAAAACACTTCAGGACCCTGGTCCCCAAGCAAAAATGCTTCCATTCTTTTCTTTATGGCCTAACAAATTTAAAATAATTTTTGTTTACCATGATTAATAACTAAGAAAATCTCACTTTATCAACTTTGATCAAAGAGGAGGGAGGATAAATGTGAGTGTAGTAAAGTTCTTGTGCCAACTGATGCCACATTTGCCGCGGAGAGAGTCGCATTTTCTCGGCTGTAGCCCAGTAGTCCAAGTAGGCCGTAGGGGCATCGATGCTCTCAGGACTCCTCATCTCCGAAGAATGGTGCTGGAGAAACTTACGAAGGTACTTCCGCCCTTCATTATTCTCAATTATGCTGACCAGTGGCAAGAACTGCTGTTGGCTCTCATCTACTGCTTCTGAGCCAGTCTCGTCGGCAAAATTTTTCCAACCCATGGCTCGTAAACGCTTCTCGCACTCTCGTTTTGCATAGAGAAGTTGATTCAAATAACTTCCTAGGCGGCGAACCTAGTTTTAAAATTTTTAATCCCACTGCGACTCAGAATTTAAAATTAGTTTTACATCATTTGAGTCAGTTTTCTCTTCACAAGCAGCCTCCTTAGCCAGCTCAAATTTCACATTGACCTGTAGAATTTCCGTAACAATATTGTACCTGCAAAAATAAAAATTCAATGTGAGGAACAAAAAAAAAATATAGAGATATGGTCAACCTGATATGTTTTAATATGTCTAAGTCATCACAGTCTTTTATTTTCTTGATCATCTCTTCGTAGTTCTCGATGTTTGTCAATTGGCGCTTTTTTGCCCTTGATTTCTGCTGATGGTGGATGTAGGCGATTATTTTTTGGTTGATAAAATCTGGGTCGCATATCAAGTCAACGGCAGGCAAGAGAACTAAAAAATTATTTAAAGTCAAGCAAGCAGCAAATTAAGCTTAAAAAATTCTTACTTGCGAGGGCCAAAACCTCACGGACAAGCAGTCGCAGCAGCTGACTGGACGAGTAAATCTCGGGCATCAATAGCACCACAGCCATTTCGGACAGTGAACGTATAAAGTCCTCTTCTTTTATGTTCTTCTCAACATAGGGTGCAACATGAATCACAGCTGGGCCTCCAACTCGACTAAAAATTAATTAATATTGAAAGTTTTTTTCTCTCACGTCTGTCAAATAAAAAAGAAGTAATAATGAAGGATCTGCTAAAAAAATACTGACACAATAAGTCTAGGTGGCAAGGGTGAATGCAATTATAATTTGTTATCCTTACATGGCAGCGCCCTGCGCCAACCTCAGTCGCTCAAAATGGGTAGTAACTCTGGTTATCATATCACAGGCGACCAACTGCGTCTGGTCAACTTGTGCCAGCCGCTCATGCAAATTCTTTATTCCCTCCCAAATATCCTCCCTATAATTTTTATTATTTTTAGGATTTTTAGTCTCAATAAGAAGATTTTTACCGCAAGAGAGCTGTTAATTGATCTGGGCTAGCACAGAGACCTTGCAACAAGTTTGCCAGGTAGTCCCTGAGAGCATAATCCAGCAACTGCTGCAGAACGGCGTCTACCATTCGTCCAAAAACAACAGGCAGACACTTGGCGTCGGAATGTTTTGGAGACAAATCTGGAGAGTTTAGTGCCTTCTTTTTCCACGGTGTTTGGCCCTTGACCTGCAAAACAAGATAATATGATCCGGGCGATAATTACATTTTGTAATTCATGAAACGCAAAAAAAAATATTTATTTATACCTGTAAGTATTCGAGCACCAGCTCAGCTCGCTTCGACGGAGACAATTCGTCCTGACTAGGTTTCTTCCTGACCTGCAGGTCGATCTTCCCACTGCCTGGGCGGGCGAGGAAGCTGCGGACGCCGAGGGCCAAGCCGAGGACACAAGCGCCGATCGAAACAGCAATAGTGACGAACACGAAAAGCCACTCGAGCGAAAGGACAAGGACGGCGAGCAGCGCAAAGAGCGCCGACACCACCAACAACCCATGCTTGTCCATCGCTCACCTCTTTTATCGTTCGTCCATGCAAAACATCTGAGTAGACGAGACCAAAATTTCCATGTTTTCTATTCCGTCACCTAAACTGCTGTTTTTTTATCTTCTCGAAACGTAATTCTGAATAAATCCAATCCAACCCAGCTGTTGCAGCTGTTATTGACGTTGAAAATAAGGAGTGCTCACGAGGAAGCGTGTGGGTTACATACTCAAACCAATTTATTTTTATTTTTAAAGATTTTTAACTTACTAATATAATAAATGTATCAATATTTATAGACTTTTTGATAATTTTTTGAAACTTTCATGATATTTAACGAGGAAAGTTATCAAGTTAAAATCAAGTAAGATTATCTCCTTTACTTTCAACCTTACACAAGAAGTACCAACATGCTAAAATAAATCGGGTTGCGAAAACTAAAGTTTTACGTTAAAATTTACTTACTGAAGGCTCATGTTGCTGTTAAAATAATTATAAATATTTATAGTAATTTAAAATTACCTTGATTTATTTTTAAATAGGCATTTATCAAAATTTCAAAGACCTATTCTTTTGGTAGCCACATAATTTTTGAAACGTCCTTGACCTTTTCCAACAAAGCAAAAAACAGCAAAACAGAAAACAGATTGTAAATAGAGAGGCATAAACTAAATAGAACAAACCCAAGAACAGAACAAGCCCACGAACAAAACGAAACACTTGATGTAACATTAAGATTAAATTACGAATAACAATCTAACAAACGAACGCTCAACCTTGCGCTCAACCAAATCAGGTAATAAATTATTATATTTTAACCGACAATCGACAATCACCGCATAGAGCTCATTTTTTTATATTATTTTGTGAGTGTTAGAAGTCGCATTAAATTCATCACAGTACGTATCACACACTGCATTTTTTTTACAAGCCTGATTATCTTTTGATTTCAAGTACAAAATTTTGAAAAATAATAAAATACACATATGTCAGAAATTAATATAAATCAAATTTATTTCAATCCAAAGGTTTACTAACATGCGGAGGTCTTGCAAGCTGCTTTCATCCTTGGTTAAAGAAGACTTTATCAAATTTCTTGATTCCTTTGACACCGTACTTACCGACTGTGATGGTATAATAAAATTAAAATTAATTAAAAAATAACGTAAAATTCAACCAAAAATTATCAGGTGTATTGTGGCTGGAAAATAATGTTCTCCACTCTGCCAACGAGGTTTTAAACCGGCTGCAGGACATGGGCAAGAAAGTGTTTTATGTGACCAATAACAGCACTAAAACCAGGGAAGAATATGTCACAAAGTGTGCAAATTTGGGATTCAATGCCGAAAAGGTATTTACAAAATCACATTAATTTTAATGATTTATACACTTTTTCAATTTTTATAGAGTTCAATAATAAGCACCTCTTATTTGGCGGCGTCTTATTTGAAAAACCTTGGTTTTGACAAGAAGGTCTACGTTGTAGGTTCTGAAGGAGTGACGAAGGAACTGGAAGCCCACGGGATCAGCCATACTGGTGTTGGGGTAATATTTTTCAAACTATATAATAACAAAAAATGTGTTGAAACTAGATATTTTTGTAAATATTTGTTAATTTTAGAGAGACCATATCTCTGAATCAGTTGCGCATCACCTGGAGAACAACTTTTCTTTAGATCCGGAGGTTGGTGCTGTTGTCGTTGGCTTTGACCTCCACATCAGCTACCCAAAAATGATGAAAGCTGCTTCGTATCTTTTTAAAAAGGAAACTATCTTCATTGCAACCAATACTGATGAGCAGTTTCCCCATCACAGTGGTGAAATTGTTATTCCAGGTTTAAAATAAATACTCTTTTTTTTTGTCGTTAATTCAGATAATTTAAGGCACTGGAAGTATTGTTGCTGCTATTCAAACATGTGCTGGTCGACTTCCGATTGTGATGGGAAAGCCAAATCCAACTATTAAAGATGTCATCTCCAAATCCCACAATTTAGACCCAGCTCGAACACTGATGATCGGGGACAGGTAATATATTGAGAACAATGTACGTTATAATTTTTTCCCATTTCAAAAGGTGCAATACGGATATTCTGCTGGGCACTCGATGCGGTTTTTCAACCCTTCTGGTTTTGACTGGGGTCACTCAATTAAATGAAGTGAGAGAATGGGAGAAATCGGATGACCCAGAGCACCACCAGCTGATTCCAGACTTTTACTTGGAAAAATTGGGGGATATCCTTCAACTCTTTCCGTGATTTTTTTTTTGTAAATTTTTTCAAAGAGCGTGTTGATCATGCGTTTATTGTAGAATCTTCCTGCAGCCGAGCTGCTCTTTTTTTGAAAAATAAATCTTAGTTGCCTTTTATTCAATGTTTTATTTATACTCTTAGTTACTTTGAATGTTCTGCTCTTTATTATCACAGAAATAAGTAATTGATACAACACTCAATCTTGAATTTATGAACATCATTTTTTAATTTAAATGCCTGTATGAACACTAAAACTGCACTGGATACATAACGACACGGCAATTTGTGAGAATCAACATACAAAATATAAAAAGTTTCAATCCACCACTCCTTATTTTTTTCACCTAGGATCTTCCATGAGTTAGTAATAATAATGCATGAAGTTCATTTTCAATGTATGTCTTCTTGTACATCTATGGTATCACAGAACTTCTTGAAATGTGGTTTTCTCTCGGAATGGTCTTGCGTGTTAACTATTAACTAATCAACATTTTTAGGCCAAATGATCCATTTCAAAACTAATTGCAACTCCAGTCAAAAGTGATCCAAACTTTTCATTTCACTAGAGTGGTTACCAATGTGTTTAGTACTATAATTGGAGTAAAGAGAAAAATAATTTCACTCTTTTCAATGATTACGCTGTGGCTATAATAACACGATGAACGCAGGTGCTACATAGAAGCTGTGTACACTGGCAATGTGGCATATGGACTTGTGGAATGTGGAGAGGGGATTTTAGGCTTACTTTTTCCAATAGCAATATGGTAAATTGTATTTTTGATTCACACACAAAAATAATGATTCATAGGTAACATTGATACAGCTGCAGAGGTAAAAAAGCAGCTCGTGAATTTTTTAAACACCATTTTTAAAGGCAATATAAGTTTCTCATTAAAAACAATGACTTCAAGACTCTCAAAGAGAATTTGAATGATGTAAAATAGTTAAATTATTTGGAAGATGTGTGACATTGGTGGTGCAAAGTTTTCCGCTTTTAACGTGTGCTGCACTTCAATCATCCTCTTCTAGTTGAAGTTAAACATTTAAATGTCAAAATTTCCATTCAAAAATTATCTGGCTTGAAAAAGTTGAAAAATTAAGTTAAAAAACATAAAAAATGGCAAGTGTGGCAAGTTACAAAATATCTAAAGTATATATCACCAAAATGAGCAAAAAATCTTTGAGAGGAATGGCAAGATTTGCAATAAAATTAATTTTCAAACGATCATGGGCATCCAGCGAAGACTTTGAGTAGACTGCTTAGAAGGTCAGTATGGGACCCTCTCTGTGATCCAGTATGTCTGAAAATGGGGTACTTTGAAAAAAAGAAAGTGTAGTGCTGTCGGACTGTAAATACCTCTCGCAATGCTCCACCAGGGAAGGGTGATGTAAGTGAGGAATGCGTTCAAAGGGACTGATTGAGCTCTTTTCGTCTCCTTCCAAAAATGGAATGTCTGTGTGAACCCTCTCATCGTCCACAGAGGGTTGTAAGCACCGTCGTCGAGCTCTGCAAAGATTTAAATAAATGGCTCATTTTCTTCAGAGCTTCAAGTGGCAAAAGGGTTGAGAACATTTTACTCTTGTGTATACAAAGCAATTCTATGAACAGTGACTTTGAGTACCTTCTACAGAAAAATGAGGAAAGAGGTTGAAGGTTTTTTCTTCAAAAATATTCTAAAAGCATGAAAATATTGCTGCTATAAATACATGGCAGGTTTAAATCTCTGGACAAGTTCAAGCACATCCAGAATCTTGGTCGGGACAATGAGAGTTTCTCAACCCGGTACTTCACAGGTGAAAGGGTACCTTTGGTAGGGTGGCTATTGGGGACGTCACACCAGTAGACGACATTGGTACCATCAGGTGCTTTACGCGTGGGTGGTACTCGTTTGCTACGCATCCTACTACTCATGCGAGCTACAGTGGCTGACGGGGCCAAAGTGCATAATCGGGAGAACATATTGGTAGCTACAAAACCATCAAATCATAATATGTTTGAATAAACGCTGACGTTATCTGGTAAAATTCTTTTCATGCAGAAAATACGTTTTACAAAGCATGCAAAAATTTTCAAATTTGATGAGCCATAAAAAGCGCCAGCAAAATTACCGTCTCGCAGGTCACCAGCTTCAATTTCGTTCAAACCATTGGCCATTGAGTCGAGACCCTCGTTTTCTGAGCGCGCTCGATTTGACTCCTGGGTCGGTTTTGTCTTCCAGCCGGCACGAACAAAGTTGTTCAGGTTGGCGCTTGGGTCACTCAAACGCCTCTGAAGTTATAAAAGATATTAAAATCAATAAAAGGCATTATCATCCCAAGCAGACCTGGTGCCTATAGACAAAAAAGTCCTCAGGGTCTTCATCCCAGTCAGAGTCCCACAAGTCAGTGGCGCAATAACCTGGTTCCGAGGTTGGTGTTTCGGCTCCACTACCTAAATAAACACAAAATTTGTAACCACAAAAGAGTCATGGAAAGTCAAGTTTCTCACGCACCGTCACCTTTCGGCTTGGTTACAGCCATCTCTGCGTGACCCTTGCCCTGAGGACCCTTCATGCGCACAAACTCGACCCTCTGCGTTGTGGCACCGGAGAACAGGCCAAAGGTCATTCGTTGGGCCATTTTGTTTCCCAAACTTGACTGCTGGGTAATTTGAATTTAAAAAATTACTAACTAAATGATGATGAAAAATTACCCTGGCGTCATAGACTTTCTTGAGAGCATCGTACCTAATGCTGCCGAGGAAGATTACACCCTGGATCGAACCCTGCCGATCAGAGGCCACCAACTCCACACAAACCATTTCGCCATCCCTCACCAAAATGTCACAGAAAACCTAAGGAACATAAATGACTTTAATAAAAAAAGTGTTTTGGTTTAATTGAAAATACCTCGTCAAAATTGTCAACCATGAAACAAACGTAAGGATAAGTCATTTCTTCCACGTCTCCCTTTGTGTCCATTCTTCTCCTACTTGGAGAAGCATACACTTTCTATTGAAATTATTAAATTTAATTTATCAACGCCAATTTCAGTATATTTCGATTTACCTGAGAGTGTCGTCTCAAAACCTGCAGTTCTTTAGGACTAGTTCTGGTGCAGATAGCCAGCGTAAGGGTATAGTCGAACTGGTGGATTATCAAATTGAGGTAGACGGTCTCTTCCCAGTCAATGTCAGGGTCTCCTATGGGCAACTTTCGGCTGTCTTTTCTAAACACTTCTACTTCTGTCTGCAAAAATAGGCATATTTGCAAATAAAAGCCAATAAAAATATGTTTTCAATTGAAATATTAAATTTTTTACCTCAAATTTAGGAAGGTGTCTTGAAGAGCCTTTGACGTGACGCTTTCTTACAAAAAAGAGCAGGTCGTCGCAGTCTATACTCTGATCTGTTTGGAAGAGGAAGTGGCGCACAAACAGGTCTGTCCAATATGAGGCGCCTTGCAGCAGCACAAAACCTGAAGAATCTACAAAATAATAAAGAAATGTTAATTGAAAATTAATAAATTTTGAGTAAAATTGTTTTTTTTTTCTTGAAAATTTATTGAAAAAAATCTTCACTTAGTATATACAATTAAAATTGCACATGATATAATTGAGTTGTTAAAACTGATATTAATATTATATTATGCTGATATGTATTTTGTATGAAATAATAAAAAATTATATAATCTATTTTCAAAAATGGCATCACTTTGGGAAATTCCAATTAAAACTAGTCATAATAAAAAAAAAAACCATGAGCGTTTTTCACCCTTCATGCACCACAGTGGGGGTGGCAGGGAAAGTTTTAGTTTTGCAGCACAAAGGGTAACCCTCATGCAAGGTCCAGTGTCACATGACTCGACGAAGGATTAAATCAGATGCTCGTACCGTCTTTCATCAGGTGCCTCATCTCCTTCGTGCGCTGGAAGTTGATTTCTTCGAGCAGCTGCTCCAGGACGGTGGGAATTTTTCCACCCAGCGCCATTTTCACCCTCGCCGAACTAAACACCCCCGTCCGCCGAGTGAGTGCGCAGTGAAAATTCGCCCTTCGCAGTTCGCACTAGGGAAGTTCCGGTATATGACGGTAACTTTTTAACCGGTATATTTGTCACGGTTACCGGTAACTTACCGGATTTTTACCGGTTTCGGTATATCGGATATACCGGTATATTTTTCAGATACCGTAAAACGGTTTTTAAAAATTTTTCGGCGAGCGAAGCGAGCCGCAAAATTTTTCGGTATTTATAAATCGGCGAGCGAAGCGAGCCGCAAAATTTTTCGGTATTTATTAATCGGCGAGCGAAGCGAGCCGCAAAATTTTTCGGTATTTATAAATCGGCGAGCGAAGCGAGCCGCAAAATTTTTCGGTATTTATAAATCGGCGAGCGAAGCGAGCCGCAAAATTTTTGTCAGATTGATATAATTATATCGGCGAGCAAAGCGAGCCGAAAATTTTTGCTATATATAGTCTGTGCAGTACTCACTCCGCTCTTATAATTGATATATATGCATATATTATATATCAATTATACCATCAACATTTCACGTATATACTGATGTATACATAAAATTGATTTGACACAAGCAGAGTGCATATATACAGGGTGGGTGTGATTTTTTAATACGCATATTTGAGCGATGTTTTGAGAATAAATAAAATTAAAGAGAAAAACTTGCCTTTGTTATATAATTATGTTTTTTTTTTGTTTTTTTTTTTTGTTTTTTTTTTTATAAAGATACTATTTTATTTTATCACATCAATGTAATAATAAACGTGTAAGTAACCAGAATCGGGCATATTCAAAAGCGATGGCCAATATGGGTATTCACACGCGATATTTCGCTCCTCCGGCTTTTAGAAACGTAAGTTTATTTGTATTTTAAAGATGAAAATTTAATATATTATACTGTTGTGAAAAAACAATGAAACGAATAACCAAAAGGATAATAATCAAATCAAAAGATAATCCAAATTTTCTCCCTTTTGTATGAAATCATGATTTCAATATTATGGTGAGTTTGAAATTATTTAAAATAATAAAAAAGAGAATATTCAGTATTATTGTATGTTGACAGGGTGTGAGGTTTGTAAGATAAACGAATTCTCTTTTCTTTTTGCAAATATGTTCATGCTCTGTTCTAGAGAATTACTCAGGATTTTTTTTTAAAATTATTTAATTCAACATGGGATATTGAGATCTAGCTCTATTAATAAATTCATCTCAATATCCCATTGAAATCAAAAAAGAAACTTTGTTTGTAATACATATTATCTTTCATGCATTTGATATTATTTATTGCGACTATTTAAGGTGAAAATAAAATTGTTTCATGGGTTCCAACTTAAATAAATTTTGCCCCACATATTGAGCTCACAACTTAACAATTAAATGATAAAATATAATGACGAGACGCCGGCATTGCAGTAGTCTAATTTGTGACTCATGGTTTCTTTTGTAACGTAACTATTTGAGGAGGAAACACATATAAAGGAATTAAAAAATTTTGCTGTCTAGTCTCGTTTAGAGTAAAAGGAATTGCGTGTGTCATTAGCAGCAACCGGCTGGTACGGCTTTCTCAAGTAGGCAAGATTAAAATATAAGTATTTAACATATAATACAAGTTAACTTTATATAATTTAATGATAATTTCAATTATTTCGATGAATGAAAAAAATTAGAATTAGAATTAAGACTCAATTTTAAGGTATGGACAATTGGACATGCAGATTTCATTGTAAGATAAAAAATCTATCCCTCGATTGCTCTCGATATTCCACTTTTTTTGGTTTAGCTCCTGCAATCGAGTTACAAATTATTTTAAAAATAAGGAGGAAATAATACTTTATTAAGTTTTTATATAATTTAAAAAATCCAAAACAATTTCTTTTAATGCAAAAAATATTTTCGTTTCTTTCTGGCACAGAAAACAATTTTTCTTTACCGTTCGCTCCATCAAGAACAAAAAAACTATACATTTTCAATAATTGAATATAAATAATTTACTTCAAAAAACCTTTCTTCGCCTTAAAAGAAACAATTTATGTTAAAATTTACGTGAAATCAAATGAAAAACTCATAGTTTCAAAACGTCTTGCAGATAATGCAGATATGATACACCCAAGGCCAACAGAACCAACCTTGACCTTTGACGTACTATTTTTTTTTATCAGCGGCAAAGTTGGAGAACTCGACAAAGCGAGTTCAACTATATACCCATATTTTTCTACGACCAACAGTAACTTGTAACCTGATGAGTAACCAAGGAGAATTGTAATTTTATGTTTTGTTTTTTCAAAACGTCCCGTAAAATCCACAATTCTGAATTATTTGATGAAAATTTAGTTACGTTCCCTTATAGAAGAAATAAATATTATATAATTTGAAATTATCAGATCTGTATTATAAATTTTGAGCGCGGTGTGTGATTTCGATAAAATCTAAAAGAAAATCTCCAATAAAGGCAATAAAGCCCCTGTAAAGTAGGCAATTTTGAGAAATTCATGTTATCCTTAGGTAATTTATCTCTAGAAATCAGCCTGCTAATTTGTATCTACATCGGATGGCCTGTGCCCTACTTACGTAGGAAGAAAAATAAATGCGTAGCGAAAAATTTTTATTTTTTGGAAACGGTAACTTACGGTAACCGTCGGAAAAAATCGGTATCGGTAAGTTACCGGTAACTTACCGTACCGAAAAAAATCAAAGAAACCGATAATCAATACCGGTATATTCCTAAATACCGCGGTATACGGTTACCGGTATGTTTTGGTCGGTGGAACACTCCTAGTTCGCACCCAAAATGTTGAGCGAATACCCCACTGCCCCTTCCAGCAGTCAGACCCTCGGCCACGCCCCCTTATCCCTGCCCCCTTTCTTGCCGCTGTATGTGATGTAAATATCGCACACGCCCTATGGTATGGACTCGATCCTCAAATTCCCCATACACCCGTAGAAGTCGTAGAACAGCTAGGGTCGGACAGCTGATGACCTCCAGGGGCATGTGAAGGTAAGATTGACGTTTCTGTAATCTGATATAATTTATCAGAGTGAATCATCTCCTGCGTAACTCTCGGCACAAAAAATGCTTGTGATTTTTAGAGAGCACCTCACTTATCTTTTTTGCTCGATCTCTGCGGTTTTTATCAGCTTCTATATGTCATGTCAGGCGAACTGACACGAGTCTCTTTATTAATTTCACATTTCGAGCTTTTTACCCACTCCAATTTTGACTTGTTCATTCGAAAAAACCAGTCGTCAATAAAATTATGCTATTGTGGCAGAAGGCGACCAGGTCGCAGGTGAGACCTTTTTGTTTAGTGTCCCCCTTTTGAGGTTGAAAGAGAAAGTCCCACGCGCACCATCGGCGCCGCTCTTATCCGACTAACTTAGCAATGATGTCATAGACCCTTAAGCCTTCATTGGATTAGCAATCTGCGAATTCTTTTTCTGATTGCTTTCAATTGAGTACAAATGATACGTGTCTTTTATAACTTGTAGCAAAACCTGACCGCTTCGATGGCGTCGGTGGCTGAAGAGGAAAGTCCCGGCTGCAGCCACAGCTCCTCACCTGGGCATTTGGTCCACGCCGAGGAGGAGCCGCGTCACTGTCCGATGGCCAGCTCAGACGAAGAGGATCTCGAAAGCCCTGTTGAAGACGACAAGAACGACGAGTATGATGCGGAGAACCAATGTATGATTTATAAATTATTTTTAATTTTTTCATGGTGTTTGAAATTAAATTTGGCCTTCACTTTTCAATCAAATTAAAAAATTTTATTTTTTCCTGAATTTTTTTTAGTAACCAAATTTTAAAGTTATAAAAGCCTGAGCTGATCAATATCTGTTTTTAACTTTCAGGCGAGAGATGCATTCCATTCAGCAGTATTTATTTAGAGCCAGTGAAAATCAAGGCGCCAGCAGAAAAAGTCTTCATACCTGGCAAGGAGATCAAAGTCAGAGTGGTCGATTGCGAACGCAACGCAACCACTAGATGGCAAAACCCAAACGTGTAAGTTGATTTACAGGTCAAATGAATTAGACTGCAAGATGAACTTAAATATTTATTTTCTTCAAAGATCATATAGTGTGTAATGTGCTCACTGACCATGAATTCCCGCTATAACTTTGGCCCGAGGCTGCTAACAGATTTCACGCATCGTTGCCAGAAATTTTATTGAAGCACTCATTTATTGCCAGAGAGCTATAAAATTAATCAGCAACTTTATATTGCATTTTGCAGCAAAAAATTTAATTTTTTCCTGGAAGTCTAAAATCTTGGGGAAAAATTTGTACAAAACTCCATTATTAAATATCATATTTTCAAAAATTATTTCGGTAAAAACTTTAATTTTTTTTAATTATATATTAAATTTTCTAGCTACACTATCGAGTTGCAACATGCCGAGTTCACATGGACCATCAGAAAGCGCTACAAACACTTTTACCATCTGCACCAGCAGCTACGCATTTTCAGGGCTGGTCTCACAATTCCCTTTCCAACCCGGACACATCGGGAAAGAAGGGCCAGTTTTAAAGAGGACGCTGGTCCTCGTCATGGTATTTTTCGGCTTCGGCGTGTCAGACCTTTGCCCAGGTAAAATATTTTTATTTTATAAGCACCAGTTTTACTAAAAAATTAGGCTTCCTTCAATGCCCGATGCTGAGGTCAAACCTGAACAAATGGCCCAAAGAATGAAGGAGTTGGAGACATACCTTGTAGGGCTGCTGAGAATCAAAGTTTTCAGGAACCACGGAGAAACTGTAAGAAACTTTACTCATGATTTAATTATATTTTTATTGTTTTGAAAACAGATGAATTTTTTGGAAGTCAGCCCTTTATCATTTGTCGATCAAATGGGCTCTAAAGGCAAAGAAGGTCATGTGAAGAAAAGGACCGGAAGTGCCCAAACATCCGGCTGTGATATTCTAGGCATTTTCAACCAAAAGTGCTGCCTAAGGTTAGTATAGTTGGGTCAATAGAAATTTACATACTTTGATGATTATCTTATTTGTAGCTGTGGGATGTTCTGCAGCAAACAGTTTGGTCGGTGGGGTCGCCGATGGCTATTTGTTAAAGACACATTTGTTGGCTATGTCGATATTAAAACTGGTGTTATCAAAAGTGTGATGCTGATGGACCGACGCTTTGATGCTGTCCAGTCCAGTGTTCCTCAGTATCTGAAAATCAGCAACATGTCTAGGTAAGACATCACAGGCGCTTTAATGGAGATTTTATTGATTTTTTTTATTCTCTTTTTAGATCAATCACCATTGATTGCCTAACTGAGAGGAAGTGCAAAGAGTGGGCAGAGTTTCTGAAAGGAAAAGTAGAGAAGACAGGTAAAGTAATCATATTTAAGGGTGAAGCTAAAACTAAATCAATTTTGAACAGCGATCGATTTCACCAAGCCAAACCGCTACACGTCTTTTGCCCCAATCAGAAGATCAACAGAGGCGGCATGGTTTGTGGACGGCGCTGGTTACATGGCCGCAGCTGCCAAGGCCATTGAGGCGGCCACCGAGGAAATCATGATCGCCGACTGGTGGCTCAGCCCTGAAATTTACCTCAAACGCCCTGCCAACACAGACCACACCTATCGCCTGGACAAAATGCTTGAGAGAAAAGCTGTAATTAAAAAAATGTAATTTTTCCTCTAGAACTCAAATTTTTATTTTGCAGGCTCAAGGTGTAAAAATCTTCATCATGCTGTTCCAAGAAGTGAAGCAGGCTTTATCTCTGAACAGTAAATATACAAAGCAAGTGCTCATGTCCCGACACGAAAACATCAAGGTATAAATCCTATAATAAATTTAAAAAAAAAAAAACTAAAATGTAAAGCTTACATCAGGTCCTGCGCCACCCAACTCATGCTAGAACAGGCATTTTCCTATGGGCCCATCACGAGAAAATCATTGTCATCGACCAGAATTATGCATTTTTAGGTGGGTTGGATTTGTGCTATGGACGATGGGACGACCACAAGCACAGGTAATTGAAGTAACCTTTACTTCATTAGTTGATCATTTTTTCCTGCTCAATTTTATTTTAACTGTGATTATGTGTTTTTCTTAAAAAAATTTACATGATTTAAAATCAATGTCGATGAAAATTCATTTTGCCGGAAACATGTTTGAATCTAAATTTTCATCTTCAGACTGACTGACCTTGGACGTCCAGTAAATGAAACTGACGGCTCAAACGGAACACACTTCCTACCGCACGCTCCGAAGTTGACTTCCAGCAATCCTAGAGGCAATAAAGTAACTTCCGTCTGGCAGCTTGCAAGCTCAACAAACCAGCTAATCCGATCCATGTTCGATCTCCGTGCCGAGGCCTCGCAAAACAATGTGAACAAGTATTAGAATTTTATAAATTAATCATTAGTATCCTTCATCAATTTATCTCCAGGAGTGTAGAAGTGGACGAAAGTAAAGAAGGCGAACCTGCTCATCCGCATATGTTTGCCATGGCTGTCCGAATGAACAAAATCAAGCGCCGCTTCCGCAGTTTTTACAATAACAGTGTTACAGGGAAAGTCGAAAAGCGTGAGACTTTCAGAGAAACACTGCCCTCCAGTGGTGAAGAGTAAGAAAATTTAATTATTTATGAAAATTATATTACAGAGAAATTTCAAAAGGTCTTCAGACGAAGATGAAACTTTGGTGTTCGAAGAGACACTGGATGACGCCGAAATCGGTCAGGCAAAGTTGTGGCTGGGCAAAGACTACAGCAACTGCATAGTCAAGGACTTTGTAGATCTTGAGTCACCTTTTTCGGGTTTGTTTGTGAAATTTTTTTTTAATTAATTATTGATTATATCTAATAGATTCCATAAATCGAGAGCAAACGCCAAGAATGCCATGGCACGACATTGGGGTGATGGTGCAAGGCTTAGCTGCCAGAGATGTTGCTAGGCACTTCATTCAACGATGGAATGCTATTAAGGTTAGACTTTTCATAGTTTTAATATTTTAAGGAAAACTTTTAGTTTCTTTTAATTCCTCAATTGAATTTTTTTAAATTGAATGAAAACATTGATTAAAAAATTTATTATATTTTTTAGTTGGAAAAGGCAAAGAACAAATCCGAGTATCCAAACCTGCTGCCAAAGGCTAATGAACTTAACGCCAATGTCTTGCCTCTCATCAGCAAGAGGTTGCCCAGAGTGACCTGTCAGGTAAATTGAAATATTAATTTTTTTTCTTAAATTTTATTTTTGTTAACGTTCTACCAGATTGTAAGGAGTGTTAGCTATTGGAGTGCCAGTTTTCTGAACGCAAACGCCATCGAACAGAGCATTCATGAGGCGTACATCGACGCCATCAGGAATGCCAGCCACTATATCTACATCGAAAACCAATTCTTCATCACACAGGTCAAGCCTGAAGAAGGCAAAGTGGAGAACAAAATCAACCAGGCCCTCTTTGACAGAATAATTGCTGCTCATCAGTTTGTATTTCAAACTGAGTAAAATTCAAGATTTATAATTTAAATTTCAAATCAGGAAAAAGGAGAACTTCAGGGTTATTGTAGTCATGCCCCTCTTGCCAGCCTTTGAAGGCGAAATGGGAAAAGCCACCGGTGGAGCTCTGCACACCATCACCAACTACAATTATGCCTCAATCTCCAGGTATGCTGTATTTTTTCAATATTATTATAATTTAATTTTGAATTTCACAGAGGCAAAGGTTCTATTATAAAGAATCTCCTTGACGCTGGAATCCAAACCCCCGAGGACTACATATCCTTCTATGGTCTCAGAACTTATTCCACGCTCAAGGACGAATTGGTATGAACTGTTAAAAATTTTAGAGGCATCTGAAAGAAACTTAAAATAACTGAAATGATTTTAAAATTTAATTCCTTGTCAATAAATCGAGATTGCTTAAATTACTCTAAAATAATCAATTTTCAGGTGAGTGAACTGATCTATGTGCACTCAAAGCTGCTCATCGCCGACGACCGACTAGTTATTTGCGGTTCTGCAAACATCAACGACAGGAGTCTGCTCGGCAATCGTGACTCTGAGATTGCCATCGTCATTGAGGATGAAGAGATGAACGACTCAACAATGGATGGACGGCCCTACCAGGCCGGCCGATATGCTGGTACCATGAGGAGGCGCATTTTCCGGGAACACCTCGGCCTTTTGGAAACAGCAGAAGGAGACTCGCTGGTGCGAGATCCTGTCTCAGACGAATTCTACCACGGCCGTTGGAGGAAAACCGCCTCCATTAATACAGACACATTTGAAAAGGTTTTATCAAAGATTTAAATCAATAGTTTCCTCACATAGAATTTCTTAGGTTTTCAACTGTGTTCCGTCAGACCAGGTTAGAAATTTCCAGCAGCTTACAGAAATCCAATCGAGCACCCCTCTCAGCCTCAGGGACAAAACTGGGGCTATAACTTGCCTCAATGATATCAAGGTCAGTATCTAAGAGAGTTAAAAGAAAAATTGGATTACATTTGCATCCCTCTTAGGGACACCTGGTGAACATGCCGCTTAACTTTCTTTGTGAAGAAAACCTGGCACAGGAAATCAGTTTTGTTGAAGGAATCATGCCTTCGACCCTTTGGACCTAACATAAGAAACAAGCCACAGCCGTGAATCAAATCATCACATTTTAAAACAAAATATTTCAGAAACAATGCCAATGTGCAGTACAAATTTACAAGCACACTTTTCCAAGAAAATGCATTTTTAAACGACAGAACGGGTTGAATATTTCCTAAACACCGCACAATATTTTATTACCATTATTAATTATTTTTGTTGCTTTTTCTTCCATAGAATGTAGAAATATTATTGCAATTAAAGAAGATTATGAATGATTAAATTAACACCAAAAGTTGTGATTACCCAGCCTCATTTAATATCAATTGATTATTGTTATTCTTGTGATTGCCTATTGCTTCTACCAAAACTATTTTTTCCTATTATACATAAATTCTTATTTTATAATTTGGTTATTTTTATGTGAATTTTATGGTTATATTTTATAGAATAAAAAGACTTTGATGTTCTAGGTATAAACTTTCATTTTAATATTACAAATACAGCCACTTAAATAAAAAAAGTAGTGTGTGTGTGAATGTTGAAACAGTTGCAAAGGGGATGGTTGTTCCTGTATCTTTGATGGCGATGCAGTGAGAGTAGCAGTTTAATTAATCAGACGACCAGTGTGGGTGGATGTGTGACGTAGAAAAGGAAAAAAACATCTTAATTGACGTCTTACAAGTAGAGTGTAATTGCATAATATGGTAATGACAGACAGACAAACAAGTGGTGTTCGCAGCTAAATAACAATTCTTCTATTACATACAAATGAGAATAATAATTATGTGATTCGATTCGTCCGCCTGCTGGTGTGTGTTTTTATCACAAACGTTTGTTTTGTTACGGTCAGGTATGCGTCGAAGGGGATTTTTTTTTTACTGGGAACCAATAATTTTTAGATATGTTCTTGTTGAAATTGAAAACGGTCGTGAAAATTTTTCCGGAAAAGGCACGCAATCAACAAAGGAAAGCGGAATCAGTCGAAGAAAGCATAATTGTTTCTCAACTCGGGGAGATCATGTTTTTCACCTACATAACAATTAAACATTAATAGTCGTCGAGTGTATAAATTAACCGATGGGCTGTATGTGTTGCGAGTTCGGCTTAATTTTATACAAAATCATCTATACAACAAATCAGAGAAAGAGCGGAAGAAAAAAAAACAATCAAACGCGCGTGTGTGCCATCATCACATCAAACTCTCTCATCATCTACTGCATTTTTATGTCCTGGAGCAATTTCCGTCGGAAACCCTTTTCTTTAATCAATAAGTTTTTCTCGTATATACTCGCGGTTAAATAGAATCTTTTCATAGTTCAATAGTATTCAATAATTTTCACAAATTCTCCATTCAATTATTTTTATACACACCATCTTGCTTTTTTTCTTTTTCTCGGTAGTTTTCCTTCTTTTCTCCCCGACTATCTACATCTCTCTTTACTTTCAGCATTTTGCTATTTTTTTATTCGTATTTTATATATTCTTCCAACACACAGTGCGAACTCGCGGATTCCACATTGAAAAATCCCTTGTCACATACTATAATCTGCAAATGAACCGATTGGCAAGAGAGGTCGATTTAAGTTTTCTTACAAAAACAAATGTGTTGCTCGACCGACGAAATACTGTACATACGTTAATAAAAATGAGCAAATGAACGAACGATTATATTTTAGTTCTAAAAAAAAAAATACCACATCGAGGGTATTACTCTCTACACGTTGAAGGTTTAAAGAAACCGAACGCGGAAGGGGACGACAGTGCTGACAATTAAAATTAAAAACACGGAGCACCAAATGACCAACGGGCCCTCGTTTATCAATTTCCTCGCAGTGTTTACTCCGAACTCCGTCAAAAGTCAGTCGGTAGCGACGAGAAATTAGCGGATCGTTTGGGGAAAATCACTTATCGCTACTTCCAGTGCAGACGGAGCGTCGAGGGCGGGGAGATCAAAAGCTTCGTTTCGGATTCAAGCGAGATTCGGGTCCGAAATCGAACGTATTTTTTTCTTTTCAAATTTCTTTAAAGGGGCAGGCGAAACATCCAAAATTTTGTACCATTTCAGCGTAGAAAAGGCGGGTGGGCTATTTTGTGTTGTGTGCGAGCGATTAATTGATTGATTATGCAATGGATGGCGCGCCCTGCTGGCGGGGGCGGCTGGCAAAAGGGGGCGGCCGCCTCCTGGGGCGCTTGGCAGTGTTCGTGTCATCAAAGGCATTGAGCACTTGAGATCTCGCTTTGTGTGGCTTGCGTTGCTTTCAAAATGCGCGGCCAAACTTAATGCCAGGCTTGGCGATCCAATTTTCTATTTTTACCTTTACCGGAGCAAAAAAATTGAAAAAAAAAAATTAAAAAAAAACTGAATTTTGAGCGTGGACAAATTCGACTAGGGTTCGCCAAGCCTGATGTGTGTATCTATTGCTTCCTGCACTTCCCACTAAGTCGCTTTTGGTCTATTTAATTCTTCAGGCCGAATGGAATATTTTATTTTTAACTATGGCACAGAAGGTTATTTATTTTCACCTGTGTGGTTTGCGTCGAAAAATGGCAGTGATTCGGTAGTTAGTGGCAGGCAGGCTGGCAGATTTTTAATTGATTTTCATTCAGTGAGAACGTGGCAGTGAAAGATTGTTGGAAATCATTTTCGTACATAATTTTCAGTGACAAAGGGGCGCGAATCAGTTATGTAATTAATAATAAATTAAATCAATCTTCGACTCACATGAGTTCAAAAGTAAAAAGGCTATGTACAGACACAACTCCGTAACATCGAGGCTGCGCGCTGCTTGTGAGCGTCAATCGAAGCTCAGAGAAGCCACTGGCAGTGATCGGTTTAGCTGGCTGTTTTCTCCTTTTCTATCCCTATTCTTACTTCTCTTTATCCAGCGCGCGCGCGGTTTTAGATAATCCAATGTTTCCATCTTCGGAAACGATTAATTAAAAAAAAAACTATTTACAGACGCCTTTTTGGTTCCAGGCGCCGCATTATTTCCTTTTTACAAATTGACCCTGAGATGCGTGTGTGTATGTGTATTTTGTTTTCAGCTAGTTTTAAGGCTTTGAAGGTCAAGAGCTGAGCAAGTTGTTTCGGCTCTTGGGCTGAACCTTGCGCGGCCGCCGGGACACCTTGTTGTTGGTCGGCAGCAGCGAGTGGTGGAGTTGCACAGCACCAGCGGCTGGGATGCTAGACAGGGGCACAACCTTTGTGGCTGAGAATTCACTTTCCTTAAGCCATTCATCTGGTAGGCTGAAGCAATAATTTACATTAACGTTAAGTTCAAAATTTAAGTTGGGAAAAACTTACATTTCTTCTGGGTGCCAGTGAACAAGGACTTTGCGATTGCCGTCCAGCTCAGTTCTTTTGGCCACAATCTAGAAAAAACATATTCAGTGAGCAAAAATTATTTCCAAATCAAAGGTTCACTGAACAAATCCTGGAAAACTAAAAAACTATTTCCTGATAATGTGAATTTTTTTTTTTAGTTAAATCAATCATCAATAAAATTCCTATTTGAAGAGCTCCCTAATTGATTAATTTTTTTATAATACTTGGCTCTCTTTGAAAAAATTAAATTATAAATGTCATTACCTCTCCTCGGAGAGCCAGATTCCTTCCTGATTCAATCTGCCTCAGTTGTTCCTCGTTGCTCGTGTTGGCCACTTGTTGTTGGGTGAAGGTCATCAAGCGGTAAGTGACGCCTTCCATTTTACCCGCATCCATGTAGTCGAACATTCGTGCTTTTGATGTAACTTTATATTTAGACAGGGGCTCTGAGTAAATGTTTTGATTGTGGTACCTGACCAGGGCTGCCTTCTTAGTCTTAACCTCTTTCCGTTGCGTTTGAAGAGCTTGTTGGAGGCGCTCTCGAGGCTCTTCCGGACGGCGCCATTGCCGTTGGCCACGCCGTTGCTGTTGAAGTGGCCGTTGACGTGCCTCTGGAGGACGGTCTGCGTACTGAACCGCTGGCCGCAACCTTCCACAATGCACTTGAATGGCTTGCTGCCGCCGTGGGTCAACACGTGCCGCTCCAACCATGACCGTGAGCAGGACGTCTTGTCGAACACCTTGCAACCAACCCACATGCACTTGAACGACTCACCATTCGTCTGAGTGTTGACGTGTTGGCTCTGCACAAAAATTGAACAATTAAATTAAATTACTCCCTGGTTTATTTCAATAATATGATGTGAACGGAATTTTAGGTTGAAAGCAGCTCAGCTGTTCGTTTATAGATAAAAAATCCAAGATATTTACGAGGTTTTAAGTGCTATTATATATTCTATCGAGATCATCAAATTTCCGATTTGTTTCAAATTATTATAAAAATAAAAATATATATTTAAAACTTTTGGTTACTAATGCATTCAGTTTTTTTATCAATCAAATAGATTTTTTAGGAAAGTCGAAGGATATTAACGTTATTACCTGAAGATGGTCTAGCAGTTTGGAGCCGCAGATGAACTCTCCTTGGCAGTCTTTCCAGCAACACCTCACGGACTCAACCTCCACCTGACTCTTGTCCGCGGACGTGCTTCTGGACACCACTGGAAACCGAATAACCCTCGGCTGAGACAAAATGGGAGACAGTGGAGCCACAGTCATGGATTCAGTCTGCAAAAACAATTCACATTTAATATGGATTTTTTCTAATTTGATTATGACATACCTTATTTTCCAGTTCCAAGCTGCCTTCATTTATGATCACATTGATTGTCGACGTGGTCTCGGCGACGCAAACATCATTGGCCAAGTCTAGCACGGTGTTCGAGGCGGCCTCCGTGGTCAAGAGATCCGTAGGGGGCTCTGTGACGACAGCGGCTGCCTCGCCTTTGATGAAGGCAGTGGTGCGCGATTTGACGTAACTGGCGCCGTTCTTGCTCCAGTCCTCCTCCTCCTCTTCTATGGAAGACTTTATCAGCTTCAGCTGCTGCTTTGAATCCAACAGCAGCTCTTTCACCTGAAAGCAATATTTATCATTAAGTTTTTACTTAGAATTTAATGGAAATGAAATTAAAACTTTTTTGAAAAATTCCAACAAACCTGTGCTGGGAAGAGTTTGACGTCGAGCTCCTTCTTGAATCCATTCTTAGGCTTGACTTGCGTCTTGAAGTACTCGGTGATCTTGATCTGTCCTTTGGCGTCCACCTTGCTGTTGGCGCCGCCTGCCCACTGCTTCCTCCTAGTCTGGTTGTTGTTGTCCGGCGTCGGCGCCGCTTCTTCGTCCTCGACCCGCATCCGTTTGTTGGCGATCTGCACACCCTTCCACGGGTACGGCCGTTTGCGAGGGTTGCTGTCCTCCTCAGCGAAGGCCGGCGGCCAGTCTGGATCTGGTGGCCGCGGGTCGACTGCTGTGGGGGAGGGCGCGTCCTCGCTCTCGCTGCCGGTGCGGAGGAAGGCGTCGTCGTCGTCGGCAGGGCTGCCCGGCGCCGCGCAAGGCCCCGGACTTGAGTACGGAGACCCTGGTTCTGTGATGTCGCTGTGTCCACTGCATCCTGACGAACTGCAACTGCTGCAGTCTGTCGAGCTCAGAACCACCACCCCACTGAAATCAGAAGAGACACATTTGAAATTAAGTTTTTAATATTTTTAATTGAAATTAGTAGTCAAAATTTAATGAGTTTAAATTTTATTTAAAAACGACGATGTTCAATTTCAAAGACAAAATCAGAAAAGCAACGTCGCATTTCCCACAAACGAGATCCAGCCCCATTCAAATTATGCAACTCTGTCGCTCGGACCGGAAGTGCCCGCGATTAATTAACTTAAGCATCTCGCTTTCAAAGAGTTAATTGTTTTCCGAGCGCGGAATTATTCTCACGGCGCGCAGCACGATAATCCGAGTTGAGGAAGGTCGGCGCCGTGCTTTGAAAAAATCCGGGGCCGTGAGAGTTGCGAAATAAAGTGCCTTCGCCTTGAACGGCTGCAAGTGCAAAATTATCGCTCACTGACATCATCCGACTGTGAATCAGGCGACCGTAATTTTATCACTGGCATCACGACAGAGCCAAAGATTTGGGCATCAGTGATAAATTCCAAGAAAAAGTACGACACATGCCACATTTAAACTTAAAAAATTGTGCACCCTGTTCTGTTTGAATTATTCACTGAAGTTAATATCTGAATTGTAAATATAGAAGCAATTTATTTAAAATAAAAAACTGAAGGTTGCGGTCAAACAAACTTGCAAGTATGGAATAATCGAGCACTTTGATCAACCCTTACAAGCTGCGTGTCCGCACCGACAAAGTGCTGCGTTGAGAAAAATGAGCTCAAAAAGGGCAGCTGCATTGTAATGCTATTGCGTCGTCCGTCCAGGTGCTCGTCAAGGCTGTGCGATTGCACATTGCGCTGCTCCGACATTTCCAATTACCGCATTAATTTGACCTGAGAGGGCGAGTAAAGACGCCGAGGGTAATAATTTGAGAATTAACTCGATTTCAGCGACAATTACGAAAATTATACACTCGGCTTTCTCAAGACAGTGGTGGGTGGAGTTCCGAGAAAAGAAAATTTTCATTACGAAAGCCACGATTGAAATTAATCTTGTTTTCAAAATTAATTAATAGGTCAACCGACGATGATTCTGTTGCGAATCACTTTGAAAGCGATTCGGCAGCTGAAGGAAGGACTTGTGTGCCGCGAGCAGAGAGGGAAGTGGCTGCTGGCTGTTCCCACGCCAGTCGTCCGATCCGCGACCAACTCACTCTCGCTGCAAAACAAGTTGCTCGCCGTTCGCATTCAGGAATTATGTACACAGCACAAACTGGCCGCGCGCGAGCGTAATTTAATGCCGACGACTGGATTCGCGAGAAAGAAGAAGACGCGTAATTGCCCCAGCAATTACTCTCGAAAGTGAAAATGACATAATTCACGTAAGCACGAAGCGAATCCTCAAGAATCAAATTTAAAGTCTGCAGGTCATCAAAAACATTTTATATTAAATTTAAGGATGAATTTTAATAGTCACAATTCAAAAGACCTGCTGAAGAGTTGATTTTTTTATTCAAATCCCAGTCGTGGTAAATTTAATAGGACTGAAAATTTTTCCAAAGCTTTACACATTTTCACATAATACAAAAATTGTATAGGATTCATTTGTAAAGGTCAAAGTTCTCATTCTTCAGCTGGCACGGACTGCATGCGAGAAATTTGTGTTGAAAAGAAAGCGTTTCCAACTTCCATCACAAGAGAGAAAATGCATTCTTGAATTATCAATTAAACTTTGAAATATTAATCCAGAATAAAATTTAATTTCTAATTAACATTAAATTTTTATTCCGTCATTGTTAGACGACAATAATGTATGAAAAGCTGTAAAGTTTCATCAAGATATGGTTTTATAATTCTTGACGTAAGAAAAATCAATTGCCTTTTCTCCATATTTCGCCTCCTTCTCAAAAAGTTCGATAACTATTCTAATGGTAATTTTTCCCTTGTCTATTTTTTTTATAGAATTTGATTATAATGGTTGAGCGCACGTGTTGGATTTTCGCGGTGGCGTCCGAACAGTAGCGCGTCTCTCGACAACCAAATCACGAATCGTCCGTCGTCGCTGCTCCTCGCGTGCAAACCTGCGATCCAAGGCTGCGAGACCCGCTTTAGATTTTTTTATTCTATACTCGGTTTCGTTTCCCCACGGACCGAATCACCATAATTTGCACGCGCTCGTTTAATTAAACACCGCGGCTCGACCGCGGCGAGGCGAAAACTATAATACACACGGCAAATAAACGCGAACGGCGTGCACTATCATTATCTCTCTTGTGGATAGATTAGCAGAAATACGATTGTTTTTCACTTGGAGAGCGTCCGACAGGTTGTATAAATATTTTATAATATGGAAAAAAGATCGAAGGATAACGAGTTCAAGTTATTTGTGAAAAGAACAACTATATATCTTTTACGTCTGGACTAAACGAATTTCGCTTTCAATATTGTTGATATATGAAAAGCGATAAATCATTATTGTGTAAAATCAAACTAGTTCATAATCGATTTTGGATTGTTGAAAATTATAATTTGCTATGATTGATACAATATAAATAATTTAATGCCATTAAATTTATTCATAAAGAACTCTGCTTATCTTGCTCAAAATTCAAGATGTTGTTTGAATAGAAAGGTGATTTTTAAATGATTAAAATAATATATGAGCAATTTTTAAATTTCCATAATCTTAATTACTGTAAAATGCAAAATTTTCAATATAATTTTAGGAATAATTATCTGAAACTTACTATTTGAAATTATAGCAAAAAGGATTAAAAAATTTCCTCTTTTTTTAAAAAAAATTCTGCATTCAAAATTTCTGACGTTTTACATTTTGCCATTTCAAACTGATAAGGTTGGGAAGTTAGAAGATCGGAAACGGAAAGGTGACGCCATTACTGTTGATACTGCCCACTTTTGAATTTAAAATTTCCAACGCGTTCGAAGCCGTTCAAGGCGAACCAATGCGCAAATTTTCTCCCTCTCGCCAGTGCGAAAAATAAAATGAAAATAAATAAATAAAAGTCGATGGTGCGATTTATCGGGATGTAAAGGGAGGGGCCGAAAGCTGTGGGCACTCGTTTCTCGGCGCAATTGAAGAGCAATTTTTCTTTGGTCCGTCGCTGAACAGGTTTGGGTGCATCACTCTCTGAATGTGGAAGGGGGCACTCGCTCTCGTCATATTATAAACCGGCGAGTTATTTGCGCCGCGCAATGACCCTCCCGCGGCGCGAAACAAACATTAGCCAGGTCAGTAATGAGCCTCTTGCTCGCAGTCCTCGTCAAAAAAATAAAAAAGGCAATAATCGCCGAGGCCGTGCTAGTGCAAAGCCGTAATCGATTGGCTTAATACACAGTGCGCGGCGGCGGCGAAATAAATCACGTTTGTGCTTCCGCGAGCGGTTCCATTTTCGGAGCGCTTCCGTAGATGGAGCCGAGAGGCGGAGAGAGGAAGTTGAAGTTGCTGCCGTTTTCAAAAGTATAGGGGTCGCGCCATTCAGAGGGAGGAAATTTGGCTGCTGGCAAAAATGTAATAAAATTGCAAACATAAATATAGTCTAACAGTGACTTAACTTCATATAATAAAAGCAAAGATATAAGCTCACGTTTAAAATACTCCAAATTATAGGCTCATTTATTTATAGTTGTTAGTGGGCGTGTGTTTTTCTGTTTTAATTAGTGTAGAGTAGTGAGATTGATTTTTAAGAGGCCTTTACGTGGATTTACTTAAATTAACAAAGGTAAAACTTTTGTGTCTTTTAAAATTAATATCTCAATTAAAAGTAAAAATTTTGCAATGTATTTCATTCTTTAAAGCCAAGTTTTTCTCACATTATATAGTTTCAGTAAATCTACGTAAAAACTCATTCATTTAATTTATGGAGAGACATTAAATGGTTTTTGCATGGAAGAATTAAAACTGGTTAACATTTTTTTTCATTTAGTCCTGCTCTGAATTGTATGGGAACTAAGTTATTCTGATTGGCTTTTGGATCGCCTGAATTGTAAAAATTGAGATGCTTATCGAAGAAACAAACCCTTACAATTTTCTATGAATTTTAGCAAGATTTAAAATCAAATACAACCCCTGAATCACGGCGAGAAAAGGAAGAACCCAAAATGTAAAAATTTATTATCTCTCAAGTTAGTCCATTAATGCTTTACAAACTCATGTTCCCGTCACTTTCAAATAATTTTCGTTGTAATTGCGCCGAAAGTGATCATTTACAGGACACGGTTTGGCGTCGTGGGCGCTTTGGCGAGTCGTGGGAACGGCGCGTTGCCAACTTGCCTCCTCTCTCCGCAGCGGCCACCCCCGGGGGCTGATTCTCCCCTCTTGTCCCACTGCTGCACCCCTCGCTCGATCCAACCATGAATGCAGCAGCACCCCTAAGAGCTCTTTGTGTGTGTGTTCTTCATTTGACATCAGATGATAATCTACGTGCGGACCGCGCGTCAAAACAGATATAGGGGTGGGTGGGGGCGGCAATACACGAGGAGCTCACCCCTTTGCCAATTAACCCACTTGCCGGCGAAAACAAATGGGACGAAAAAATGCACGGCTGTGCGTCTCGCAGGCTCGATTTCGTTCAAGGGCGTTTTCGACACGGCCGCCGGGATTCTCTTCTTCTCTCGGCTCCATTTAAATAACGCAAGCACGCGAGATAGAGAGAAAAGTGGCAACAGAGGCAGCCGGTCGGCTGGAGCGAGAGAGATAATGGGTGTACGTGGGATTAAAGGGCCGGCCACATGCCGATCCAGGTAGCTCTGGGTGTCATAGAAAAATTACGCCCTGGCACCATTACGGTGCTGCCTGGGCCAAGAGCGGAGAGGCAACAACTTTTCCACCAGTTCTGCGGCCAAACTCGAGCTGAACCAGAACCGACTGCGATGTAAACAAAACCCAGTAGATCGGATTTCACAATAGGGAAGGATTCAATTACCAATAAGATCAAAATTAGATATTAATTTCCAGATTAAAAAAATCCTAGTTATTTACCTTAAAAATCAGATGATTTTTGATAGAACAAATTTAAAGAATAATAATTATTT